TGTTTATACCGACCATACTTTTTATGGAACAATGAAATACATAAACTTGAAAATTCAGGTCCAATAGGTCTTTCTTTTATGGTAGTTTTAGCTGAATCTTTTCTTCAAAATCTTGAAAAAAGAGCGCTTAATATAGCGCTGAAAACCAACCCGATTATTGACATAAAATCATTTTATAGATACGTAGATGACAGCCATGCTAGAGTCCCTAACATTGCCCAGGCTAATCAATTCAAGACAATACTTAACCAACAGCATCCAAAAATACAATATACAATCGAATTTGAAAATGACAAAAAAACAATAAATTTTCTAGACTTATGCATAATAAATAACAAAAATGGCAAATACCAATTTAGAATACACAGAAAAAATGCAATTACTAACATTCAAGTTAAGGACATATCAAACCATGACCCACAAATTTTAAATGGAATATTCAAGGGTTTTGTACATAGAGCATTTAATGTATGCAGTCAGAAACATATAGAATATGAACTGAAATTCCTTATTCAAGTATTTGTGGAAAATGGTTACAAATATTCCAATCTTATAAAAATCATAAAAGAAATAAAACGAAAGTACAAAAAACCTCTAGTGACTACTAAAAACATTGACAACATCAACAGTACGTATCCAACAATTTCATTACCTTGGGTACCAATGTTGTCTTCCAAATTGCGTAAAGTGTTTAGGAATGCAGGATATAAAACGGTCTTTAAATCAAACTTAAACCTAGAAGCAATATTAACTTCAAGAAATAAATCCAAACTACAAAGGAACAGCCACCCAGGAGTTTACCTTATTAAGTGCCATTGTAACAAAAAGTATATTGGTGAAACAAAAATGCAAATAAAAACACGCATGCAACAACACAAAAGCAGTACAATAGGAAATAAAACAGAAAGATCAGCATTAGCCACACACGTATATATATATATGTATATATATATATATATGTATATATATATATATAAATATATATATATATATATATATATATGTATATATATATATGTATATATATATATAAATATATATATATATATATATATATATATATATATATTTATATATATATATATACATATATATATATATATATATATAAATATATATATATATATATGTCAGGCCTTGGCATGAAGAAAATTGTCCAGTGCAGTGTTTCGAGCCCATAAAACTCAAATGTTTTTTTAGCAAGTGTGAACTTAATAAGTTAAATAACTTTTTTTCTTTAAAAGCTTTTAAATTTTAAACAATATTTTTACATGATAATAAGAAAATTTGATGAACGCCACATGTGATAGTTTTAGCCAATTTATGGGATAATGTATAGATATTTACCATCTATGGTTATGGTATTTATAATACTTAGAGAAGTTTAATCTCAACAAAATAATGTGGCTATCATTTAATGAAACATGAGTCCACATCAAATTTTTTTGTTTGGAAAAAATGTTTACCTGTTGTTGGATTAAGAAGGACACCAAAGACAGGATCTATAGGACCATAATCTTCAGCAACAAAATCAGCAATTACTTTTCCAGACATTATCTGTTGAAGACTTCCCCAGTAATCGGTGTGGTTTAAAACGTCAGTTTTATCTGTAATATTGATATTTATTTTTCTTATAAAAATAGACATTAAGTTTTACATTTTAGTTTTAAGGAAATGGTAATAAGATTGAGAAGTGGGTATAAATATAACTTTAGTTATATTTATGCGCGCTGATCATTAAGTTATCGGGAATGATCTTTTATTTTTGGATATGGGTGTTCCACACAATTTTATTAAGTTTTAATTTGTTATACAGCGTTCTTTAGACGATAAATATTTTAAAATTATTATTTAGCAGCGCACTGCCTGACAAAACATTTAAAGTTCTTTTGACTTCCTAAATACTTATTTATTATTTGATCGCATCTGTGTTGTGTTTTTTTTCCACCTAGTTCGTAATAATCTTGTTTTAAAGAATAAATTTTTTATGTATTTTCGTTGTTATTGTCTTCATCTTTTAACTTAATACTACAGTCAAATTTTTTTTTATTACATCAAATTTATTTGAAAGAAGTTCATAAGTTTTCATTTTTTTAATTGTTTTATTCGTTTAATTAAAATATAAATTTATAATGTTTTTGCAACATTAAAACATTGAAACAATGAAATAACAATTTCTTTTTGTTAAAACATATTTAATGCTATTAGAACTTTTATAACTTTTTAAGCAAACATTTTCAGAAACTTAAACTTTTTTTTTTCTCAAAAAAATTACAGTTTTAATTAAGTTATAAATAATATAAGTTATAATTTTAATAACAAAAGCTTTTTAAATTTAGTTAAATTTTGGCCAAAAACATTTTATTTAAATAACAATTTATAAAATTCTATAAAGATTTGTTAAAATTCTTTTCTATCAACATTGGGCTATCAACTCAAATAACAGTTAAAAAGGTTTGTATTTTAGAAATATTTTTTTTTGAAATTAAATAAAAAACTTTTATTATTACACATATGATTTTTAGCAAATGCTTTTAAAAAAATTAAATTAACAACATTTCTCATAATTAATTTGTATTTATTATACAATTTAATATTATTAATAAACTTATATAAATAAATAAAATTTTATTAAGTTTCTTTAAATGTTTGCTGTAAATGTTTTATATAAAGGAGTCTCATTCACAAATCACCATTTATTGTTCGTAGAAATTTGCGCTCTAATTTTCACAGAATGACATAATTTAACAGGAAAAAATGAGTTTTTTAATTGAAGTATAATTTTAACATTTTACCTCAGTTTAAAAAAATGCAATTAAAGAATTGTGAATAGAGATTATTTTGTTTTTAACAATAAGCAAGCTTTTTTGTTTAATTAAACAAGAATCTTTAACAAAAACTTTTTATGATAAAAATTTAATATAAAATTAAGTAAACCATTATTTTTTATTTTATTTTTTTATTATGTTTTCTCCCTCCCAAATTTTTAGGACGAGCGTGATTTTTTACTCTCATAACTAAATTAGCGAGGGTTTTTATCGCACCTGCAATTTATAAATATTCCATTAATGAGTGTGTTTTCACATGACAGGAGCTCCCGTTTCATGCCAAGGCCTGATATATATATATATATATATATATATATATATATATATATATATATATATATATATATATATATATATATATATATATCTATATATATATATATATATATATATATATATATATATATATATATATATATATATATATATATATATATATATATATATATACATACAACCCTCGGAATTAGGGTCGGCAATGAGAATTCGGCAATGCCAACCTAACTGCCAACCTGAAAGTGTTTGAGGTTGGCATAAATTACTGACCTCGTTTCTGGAGCTTAATGGAGCTTAGCATCTAATATATATTTTTCAATTGATATTTTGAAATAGTGAGTAACTGTTTGTTCTCAAAAGAGATGTTCTTTTGAAAAAGATAAAAAAAATAATTATGATTAGATATAGCAGCTGCACAAGAGGGTGATAACCATGGAGTAAAATGAGGTTTGACTTGGAACTGAAAAGATAGGACTAAAAGCTTCCACTCCTGCCTGAATCCAGGAGGTTATGTAGGAGGTACATTTTTCAACTGAGAGGATAAAGCCATCAGCCCAAGAACTGGCACAAAGAAAATCATAAAAAGAATCTCAGTCAGCTTAAGGGTAGTAGTAAAAAGTACAATCATATGGTGAGTCTAAAAAGGAAGTAGGAGAGGAAAGATTTAAAGAGACCGTTGCATGATCAGAACCACCTAAAGGAGAAAAAAGAGAAACTGAACACAAGCTAGGATCAGAGACCAGACATTAATCGAGGGGTGAAGGTAAATGATTAGGGTTGTCAGGAAAACAAGTCACAAAGTTGACTATCTGATTAAGAGATTGAGAAATGCATAAATTATAGGCTTTATTGCCAGCAGGGTCAGTGGCGTTAGAGCCAAGCTCTTCAGTGTAATAAGCATTAATGTTACCAATTATGCCAACCTAATAGATAAATTTTTAATAATAAAAATTTATTACTTTTTTATCTAATAAATTTATTACTTTTGACCGATTACAAATGTCCAAGGAGAAATATGTAGTGTCCACTGCCTTATCAGTATTTTTGTATGTGCTCTTGGCAGGGTTAAGGTCAAATACGTTTAATCAAAAACAAATACAAAATTTAAAAATTTCCAAATACAAATTTAAACACAAATATATTCAATTAACATTTTTCAAATACAAATACAAAAACAAATATTTGTATTTATTTTTAAAGAAAAAACATAATGATTTTTTCAAGACTAATAAAATAGTCTACCATATAGAAAAAAAAACTAGTCTTTTAATATATTTACCCATTTTTACCAAATACATATTTTACCGCAACCCTGGCTCTTGGATATAAAAAAGATTACATCCCTGGTATAATAAAGGAAGGTAACCAAGTAATAAAACTGACAAAACTAGTTAACAAAGTGAAAACGAGATCTTATAGAAGTGGTATGTTTGAAAGTAGTAAAATTGTGCATATAGGTAAAAAAAAATGTAAGCCTTTTATAGAAAATAACAGTGTAAAAAAAATAAATTAGGAATTAAACATAAACAAATTATGAAAAAAAAGCTGATGTCGCATAATGTATTGCAAACAATTAAAATTGGTATAATATGCAAATCATTTAATTATCGAATTAAAAAAATTGTTGTGCTGCTTTTATGTATGTCTACATTTTTGCAATACAGGTGTAGTTGCAACTTTAGTATGGTGTTATGAAAAGGGTATTAATAATTAGAAAGTTGAAAATTTATTAAAAAAACTACAAAACTAATACCTTAACTGTGTCATTTACTTTTAAATGATATTCTTCTTTGAAATAACCCTATATGTTATTAATTGATATCACATTAAAACATTTAATGTCATATCATTTATATATGATGAGTGTGTTTTACATAATTATTTTTTTTAATTTAGATTGAGTTGATCTGTAAAAATATTGGTATGGTTAATGAAGATGTAATGTAATACTCTTTATTTTCTTTCTTGTAACAATTACATTATATATATATATATATATATAATGTAATTGTTATATATATATATATATATATATATATATATATATATATATATATATATATATATATATATATATATATATATATATATATATATATATATATATATGTATATATATATATGAAAATTGAAATATGTTAATAACCCATATAAATAAAGTAGTTAAATATATAAACACTGCATATGAAATATTATTTCTTTTATTGTTACTATTAAGTAATTATAATGAAGATACACTTAATTTAAGTTTAATATTCTTTAGCACTAGAGGCCTTTCAAAAAATCCTCAGAAGGATACTTTTGTTATCAAAATAATATTTTCCAATTTTTAAACAACAAATGATAATTATCTATTGTTTAAACAACAAATGATAATTATCTATTGTTTAAACAACAAATGATAATTATCTATTGTTTAAACAACAAATGATAATTATCTATTGTTTAAACAACAAATGATAATTATCTATTGTTTAAACAACAAATGATAATTATCTATTGTTTAAACAACAAATGATAATTATCTATTGTTTAAACAACAAATGATAATTATCTATTGTTTAAACAACAAATGATAATTATCTATTGTTTAAACAACAAATGATAATTATCTATTGTTTAAGCAACAAATGATAATTATCTATTGTTTAAACAACAATAGATAATTATCTATTGTTTAAACAACAAATGATAATTATCTATTGTTTAAACAACAAATGATAATTATCTATTGTTTAAACAACAAATGATAATTATCTATTGTTTAAACAACAATAGATAATTATCTATTGTTTAAACAACAAATGATAATTATCTATTGTTTAAACAACAAATGATAATTATCTATTGTTTAAACAACAAATGATAATTATCTATTGTTTAAACAACAAATGATAATTATCTATTGTTTAAACAACAAATGATAATTATCTATTGTTTAAACAACAATAGATAATTATCTATTGTTTAAACAACAATAGATAATTATCTATTGTTTAAACAACAAATGATAATTATCTATTGTTTAAACAACAAATGATAATTATCTATTGTTTAAACAACAAATGATAATTATCTATTGTTTAAACAACAAATGATAATTATCTATTGTTTAAACAACAAATGATAATTATCTATTGTTTAAACAACAATAGATAATTATCTATTGTTTAAACAACAAATGATAATTATCTATTGTTTAAACAACAAATGATAATTATCTATTGTTTAAACAACAAATGATAATTATCTATTGTTTAAACAACAAATGATAATTATCTATTGTTTAAACAACAATAGATAATTATCTATTGTTTAAACAACAAATGATAATTATCTATTGTTTAAACAACAAATGATAATTATCTATTGTTTAAACAACAAATGATAATTATCTATTGTTTAAACAACAAATGATAATTATCTATTGTTTAAACAACAATAGATAATTATCTATTGTTTAAACAACAAATGATAATTATCTATTGTTTAAACAACAAATGATAATTATCTATTGTTTAAACAACAAATGATAATTATCTATTGTTTAAACAACAAATGATAATTATCTATTGTTTAAACAACAAATGATAATTATCTATTGTTTAAACAACAATAGATAATTATCTATTGTTTAATCTTTATAACTAGTATAATCAATTTTTTTTATTTGATTTTGAACAGGAAATGTCAATTTACAGAGTCATGTTTTTGTTTGTAGAGATATTTTTTATAAGAATTCAAATTCTTTTCATTTTTGAGTTCCAAAAAACAAAAAGTTGGAAGAAAGGTTTTATAATTGCATTATTTGCACGGTAGCAATTATGAACATGGTTATCAAATCTATCTGTTGATTGTCCAGTTCTATAACTAGAAATATCTCCATTTGTACAAAGTCTTAAACTATTAGTTTTTCCATTGTATTTAATTTTTATTATTGCAAAATAGACATTTTCAATAGTATATTACAATTTTTAATATTGTAAGTTATATGACTCTTTATGTTCCATATGGAACCATAGTAGTAGAAAGTAGTAGAAAATCACTTATCAAAATTTTTTTTCATTCAACACTGTGTTTTATCAATAAAGACTTATCAGAAATGATAAATTTATTGATGAAACGCAATGTTAAATGAAAAATTTTTTTGCTAAGTGACTTTCTACTATTTTATAATTGCTCTGTTCTTTTAAGAAATTGAGCAATTATAAAATTATAAAATAGTAGAAAATCAAAATGAAAGTTGGAGAGAGTTTTAAAGTAAAGGTTGCTGTACTCAATCCTTTTTTTTTAATTATTTTTTTGAAAGCTCTGTGAGATATGAGATATATCCAACCTCTGCAAGCATGTTAACCAGGATGCTAAATTAATGATGATGATGATGATGATGATGATGATGATGATGATGATGATAATGATGATAATAAGAGGGGTCTGTTTAAGTATTTAAGGTGGTTTCATTCAGTGTGAATGTACAATAGGAATCATCTTTATTTAATTTATCTATAAGAATTAAAGTTCTTTTAGTTGAAGATACCTAAATAAAGTTCCAAATTAAACTCAGCAACATCAGATATTTTATGATAATTGCAGTTTGGTAATTTGTGCTATATCAAACTGCAATAACCACCCATAAAATATTTTGCTCAATTTTGATTATTTGTATGATAAAAGTAAGTTTATTATGCATTTTGTAGATTACAGCACACTTAATATAAATAACTTTTCAATAGTTTTAAAAATTCATTTATAATTCATTTATTTAATGTTTTTTCAAAAAAAAAGCACAAAATTAAATAACAGATAATTAACAGATTTTTGCAGCCAATTAAAAAATTTTATATTTTATTATTTAAAATATGATTTTATTTGTTATTATTATTTGTATATATATAAACTTTTTTATGCCAGTATCTACTAAATCTGATATTGTTATTTGATTTTTTTAAATTTTCTTTTTCTTTTGGTTTGTTAATTCACTGCAGTTTCCAATTAACTCACTTTTTAATAATTATATGGTTATATAATGTTATTATATACATGTTATGTAGATATACATATGTTATATACATGTATTATGTAGATATACATATGTTTGTGTTTGCTTGTGAAATCCAATAAAAATATTATTGGGTGGACTAAGGAAAATCCGGTCAACTTTAAATTGAGATTTCTCTAAAACCACAAATGCTCTTTTTTTTTCTAATTAAATGTTACTTCCTTATCTTTAATTGTCTTGATAAACTTTTGTTTACAAATCAATGATTTGTAAAATGTTTCAGAAACAAATTGAGGTGCATAAAAAAGTTGTAAATTTTTTTCAGCTTGATTGCTAAATGTACAAATGCCCCAAAATCTACAGTCATAGATATTATAAGTAAGTTTAAGACTACTCAAATCTTTAAAAGAAAACCTGGAAGTGGAGGAAAGAAAACTTTCCATAAATCCAAAAAGGTAAAGTCAATTCTCAGTTTAATAGCAAGAAATATGAACCAGTCACAGTAAGATCTAGCTAGAAAATTTAAGACTTTAAAGTTGTATATCAAAAAAGTATTTAGAAATGCTGGAATTAAAGTATTTCATAAGAAAAATACACCTAAGAGAATCTTAAATAGTGAAATGAAAGGAACTCGACATGCAAAGAAGTTGGTTAAGATCATGGCAGATATAAGTATGTACATAATGGAAGATGACAAAATATATTGCAAGGCGGATTTTCCACAAGTTCCTGGTCAATAATTTTACTATGAGAACAAAGATAAACCTGTTGAATTAAAATTACGTTGAAACGCTTATTGATGTAAACACATTTAATATAAATAAAAATTTAAATAAAAAGCATTTATGGTTTTAGAGAAATCTCATTTTAAAGTTGACCTGATTTTTCTGTGTCAACTTGATTTCTAAGATGGGCACTAAAAGATAACCCATTGCAACATTATTTGTTTGATGTAATATTTTCCATCAAATAAAAAAATGAGAACCAGAGTTCAAAATTTTAGAAAATTGGTTTAAGTAAGTATTGTGTTCAAAGAATAAACCAGTTATTATGTTGATGGGTTCCTTAAGTATAATGTTTGTAAAAAAACATTCAATATTATATGAAGCTTGTCTCTCTTTATCCTGATTGCCATTTACTTTCTCCTTGTTCCATTCTTTACTTCTGTGAATATTTTATATGGCCTTGCATGGAATGCAAACTGTTGTCATATTTGGGCTGATTTTTATAATGAAGCATTCTCTCTTGTTTAAGGTCCAAAAACACATTGTAAATGCTGTTAAGCTTGAGCTTCTGTCCTATTGTTTTAAGGTTGCATCATCTTTTTTACAAATACTACAATGGTTGTTGCTCAAGCAAGCTATCATTAAAGTGACCATATTTTAAAAAGAAAAAAATGTATCACAATGGGAATGATAAAAAAAGGGAAACAATCTTGCAAAGACTGTCTAAATTAGATGGTCAAAGATCTCTGAGGGCCTCATAACAGGACTAAATAGGGCCTAAAATATTTATTTTTCAAACTTCATATCTGGATAAGAGTGAGAATATTTTTTACTAACAAATATAATGAATAATCATCAACGCATTTACGCTATAAAATTTAAATGTTTAAAATTTAAAGAATAGAAGTTAAAAGTATAAGAAAATGCCTGTATTTAATTTAAATAAAAAGAAATAACATAATTAAAGAATTTCAAATTTATTTTAAAAACAAGAATCATATAGCCTCTCTCTAAATAAAAACTAAATAGTTTCTAAATAGTTCTTCTATTAAAAATTTAAGAAAACATGATACTGCATTAAAATTTGTACTTATAAAGTTCTATTGCTTGAATTTTTATTGCCTGCTTTGTTTACAGTTTATTTATTTTTCATCTGGTTTTAACGGAAACCAGGTGAAAAATAATGTTTACAGTAACTCTGGTCAATATGGTAATTAATGTGTTGGTCATTAATAATTAAAAAACCATTTTCAGTTCTTTTTTAAAAACATTTTTTTATACAATTAGACAATTAACTTACCTTAAATTAAAACAATCCAAAGTCTGATCATTCTAACTATCGTCACTTGTTCAATCAACCAATACTCAGTCTTGTGTTAATTTTCATTCAACTAAATTGCATCTTTTTATTTGAACTGTTTCATCATGCTTAAAAATTTTTTATTCATCTAGTTTATTTGCTTGAGCACAGGTGCTTTAGAATTCTCTCTCTTTTTTTCCTAATATATACAATTTATATTTTTTTAAGTCTTCTATTAACCTTTTTCTTGCTTTTTTTAAGTCTTCTGTCAACCTCTTTTTTGCTTTTTTGTTAACTTTTGAAAGTTGTTTATTTGTTTTAAGTTTGTTTGAAAGTTGAAAAAAAGTCTTCAAAGTTGTTATTTTAATGCTTTGACAACTTATACGAACATAGCTACCTACGAATATGATTAGGAAGGTTGACTCCAATTTTCAAAAAATATTGTGACCATCAATTTTTGTGATATTTTTACATTAATATTTACATTTAATTTTTATTTTATTTGACTTACCATGTTTTACAGATGATATTCAATGTTTTTGACATTTTTTAATTTGTATTTTATTTGTATTGTTAAAAGTCTCACTTTAAAAAACGGTAAATCTACAGTTAAGCAGTCCAAAATAATTTTATTTTTTCACTTGTTTTCACTTTTTTTTACAGAATTTGTCATGGGGCAGCGCTCTTTTTTCTTTTAATGTTTCAATTAATTTTTTTAATGTTTAAAAAACCTCTTCTGACGAGAGTGCAACAAGCGAAAAATATTTTTTTAGACCACTTAACTGTAGAATCACCTGAGAAAACACTTGCTACATCACTTGACAACAACAAGCTCATGTTGCTGGATCAATACTTAATCACTCATTTGTGTATATAATAATACAAAGTATAATTATATACACTATATAATAATTATCAACTCCAAGTTCATTAAAACTATACTATATTAGCTTTTTCTGATAGTGTTTTCTTTTCTAGAAGTGTTTTTCAGTTCAAACTGAAAATTAAAGGTTTTTTTTATAAGATATGAATAAATATTAAACTCAAATTCTTAGTAATTTTTTTAACAACTTGGATTTTTAATTGCTAGACATCTTACAATTTTACTTGTTAATCAATCAACCTAATGTAGACTTGAAAATTTAATGTAGACTTGAAAATTGAAAATTGAAAACATTGTGAATAATTACAACCAATAAAGTTTTTTTCCCTCTTTTTCTAAAAGGATAAGGTAAAAATGGCATCAGACTTTATCAGATTTTTTGTTTGTTAGAAGACTTCTATAACAGATTGGCAAAAATGATATACTTAGTTTTTAGTGTCATAACAAAATTTTCGCTGAGAAAATTTTACTACATTTTTTAATTTTATATTTTTTTTATAATTGTAGTAATTCAGATATTAGGAATTCAAATAAATATGTTATTTTTTTATAGAGTGGAATTAGAGTCTCAAACTAATCATCATGTTCTTATAATAAAAGCAAATATTGTGCTTCGATCACTACAATTGTTATCATATGATAATAAAATTATAGATTGCTTGAGATTTGGCTATGTTTATTATGGAACAGATGTAGTTCAAACACTATGGTTGTATAATAACTCTCCTCAAGAATCGAAGTTTGTTGCAGTTATTGGTTCTTGTGATGGTGAAGAAATGGTAAAACAAGTTCATTTATTTTACAAAAATATGTAGAAATCTACAAACTTTATTAAACTTTTTGAAATCTACAAACTTTTTGAACTTTTGTACTGATTAAATAAAGCATCATTGCTGTTTTAAAGAAAATTTAAGTTTCAAGTCATTTTGTTTCTGTTTGTTGTAAAAAAAACAGCCCTTGACAACTCTTTGTGTTTAAAGAAGACAAAATCAATTACACTTGATGAAAAAACCATTAAATTTAATCAAGTAAACTATTTAAATATAATATGATTGTTTTTTGAAAGTTCTCAAAAACGCAAATTAATAGACTAGAATGTTTTTAAAACCATTCAGAATTATTTAAATCATTCTGAATTTTTAAAAATAGCATCAATTTTCACAATTCACGCTAATAATAATATTTTCATGGGTAAAAACATTATCAAAAGACTTGAAACAAACAAAATATATTCGTGACAAAAACAATAAGTTTTGCTGTTATTATTAAACATAACTTTAATAATTATGCTGCCTAAAAACTAATTTAACTGTAAAACAGTTTTTTTGCACTATTTTAAGTTTGACGTTAATAAAACAGCATCAAATTAGCTAAAAATTATTTTTTCTTTTTCTACAAATGTACAAAGTATCAATATATAAGACACAGTTCATATCCTTGTACTCTACTTTATACTAAAATAATTTTGCAAGAGAATAGTCTTCATAAGGGAAGGTATTGGATAATAATTGTCATTTTCCCACATATCAAAATGTTGTCTTTTAAAAAATTTTTATGGATCATTGTTATGTCTGTTAAGTGTAAAGCTTATAAAAGTAATTTATCTCCAAAAGCAAAGGTTTTAATGTATGCTATGGATGATGTTGTTTAAATTGTATTTAACAATCACAATCTAATATAAAAAATAGTATGACAAATATATAATACTATCTTTTATATTAAACTGTAAAACTTTTTTTTCATATCTAACAAACACAGTTTAATATGAAAGATTTTTTTCATTTGATATTGTATTTATTAGCTTATAAAATGGTTAAGTGACCTTAGTTAAATGATAAAAGGCTGTTAAAAAATGAGAATTTTTTTTTGGGCTCCAGTTAATTAGATTTTTTCAAAACTTAATTTGAAAGCTTTGAGTACCACACTCTAGAAGTACCTCACTCTGAGTATGGTACTTCCAGAGGCATAGGGTAGATTTGATATCTTCAAATATTACTGTCATGAATACCTTGAAATATTACTGGCAGTATTACATACCAATAACATGATACCATTTATTGATTTTTTTTTTGGATTAAAATTTAACAAAATTTTCTTTCAAATATTAGGGTGTTGACATAACAAAAAAAACTATTTGTTCATTTGTTGACGATTTTGGCGAAAATTGGCGTCATGAAAAATCTGCATTTTTTTCTGTCTCACCTTGTGAAGGAAAACTCGATCCTTTTCAAAAAACAAAACTGTATTTCAAATTTAGTCCAAAATACATGCAACCTTTGAAAGGGTGGAAAAGCATAATGAGGATTCCGTCAAGAGAAGACTTTGCTATGTTTATAAGAATTTCAAGTGTTGGTGTTCTTCAAAATCCTATGGAAAGTTAGTTTTATAAGATTCATTACAAAATGTGTTTTTAAATTTAAACAAAATAGTAATAGAAAAAAAAAAGTGTATTTATTAATTTTATAGTATTACTAATTTATTTTTATGAAAAAGAAATATCTTTAAAAGAATATTTTATAGATTTGAATGTTGAATTAGCAATGACTGGAACAGCACTACCAGTGAGCTTATCAATTTTTCCATCACAATTTATTAACTTTGATAAGTGTTTTATTGGGAATACTTCAAAAGTTGTTATCACATTGAACAATAACTCTCCGCATCTCTCTGCAAATTTTTCTATAAAATCATCTGCACATTTTAATATTGAACCTGCATGTGGGGAAATTGATATAAATGGTACTCAAGAAATGGTGTTTTCTTTTATACCAAAACAAATGGGGAATCAAAGAAAAAAGTTTTTGTTAGACATTATTGGATTTGAATGTGAAATTAATGACTGTCAACAGATTCTTTATAAAAAGATTGTTAATAAAACATATTTGTTTTGTTGTACTGGGATAGGATTATATCAAAAGTTTCCAAAACCGCTTAATACAACTAGTTTGGGTTCTAGTTTAATTGATGTTGTAATCGATGGAGAGCATCAATGTAGTAAAAATTTGCAAAACACTTGTGAAAAAAGCCATAAAATAAAGAAAAAAATTGTTACGGACAAAAAAGTAAACAAGAATAACACTGGAGGTTTGTTAAATGTCAGTATTTTTATTTATAAACTATATTTGAACTCATTTTTTTTTTAATTTTAAATTTTAATATGAATAGAATTTCAAGATTTAAAGACTACAATAAATTTTTAGTAATTTTCTGTTATGTTGACTGAATAGTTATATTTGTCTTTGAAAATGGATGCTTTCAGGTGCAGAAAAGGTTGTGAATTATACAAGTGTTTTTAACTCAATGGTATTTGATTGTTATTTTGGTATTTAAATTATAAATAAAAATTTTTATAAAATATTTTTTCTGTAATTATTTTTATGAACCATTTTTTATTTTAATGGGAATTATTTTAAGTATATTTTTTTATTACAGGAGCTTTTTATTTAGACAAATAGGTCTGCAGCTCTTGAATATACAGAAGTTTTGACACCTAAGGAGCTGCATAATATTAGAATAGGTATATTAACTATATATCTTGGTTAAGAGTAGTATTTATTTTCAATATGTATCTGTAGGGGAGAGTGGGGAGAAGTGGACATGTAAATTTTTTTTAGGGTATTTTTTATTTGATGTATAAATTGAACCAAACAAGTTTTTACAAATAAACCTTCTTTTTAGGCACCAATTCAATCCCCTTAGGTTTCCAGTCAATTATAACTAAGTATATAAATTTTTGCTTTTAGAGAAACTGTGCCATTGGGGTAAAGTGGGGCAAGTGTGAGTTGAAGTGGGACAAGTTAGTTTAAAACAACATTTCCACACAAATTATTAAATAGAAACTGATAAAAGCGTAAAATTACCTAATTGACATAAAAGCGTTCAAGAGTTTTCACCAATTGAAATAATCATATGGTGAAGGGAAGAAGCGGGGCATAAATATTTCTTTTTTTTGTCCCACTTCACCCCAATGTAAACACTTTTTACTAAAACACATTTCAAAGTTAAGGTTTATAGCGCATGCAGGGAACAAAGCAATTTCTGCTAAATAGTGGGGAAGAAATTTAATTGTTTACATTAAATAACAGTATTTAGGCACCACTCTTAATTAGAAATTTCAGACTGTTCCACTTCTACCGCGCCCTGCTTCTCCTGCATCCCACTTCTCCTGCGTCCCACTTCTCCTCACTCTCCTCTACCCTTGCAGATTTTTTGTATAGTGAAATAAGAAAAAAATGGTTTATATATATATATATATATATATATATATATATATATATATATATATATATATATATATATATATATATATATATATATATATATATATATATATATATATATATATATATATATATGTTTCCAGATAAAAAAAATTTTTGCAATGGCAAATGTATCTCAAAAAATTTGTTCTTTCACTCTTGAGTTTTTTAACCTGGTTATTGATATTTAGTTATTTATTGTAAAAATATTCAGTTATGGCCATTATGGTCAGATAATTTTAAATTCATGTTTAACATTTTAGTTAACACTTTTTAGTGTTTTAGTTAAACCCTTTATTTTTATAAAAATTTCAACTGAAACTAGTTAAAATATATGTTAACTAAAGTAGCAAATTATAATTTTATTTCTAAACCCAACCTTTTTCAAAACTGACAAATAAATAGCAAATTAATGAAATTCTAATGCTAAAATTAAGTTTTTCCTCATACACACACACTGTAGACTGCTGTTAAAGGAGATCACTGGGTACTTTGTACTCAGGTGCAGGATAAGAAAGGGTGCATGACAACCCAAAAAAATTTTTTATTTGATTTAAGTTTCATTAAAAATTATTGGCAATTAATGATATTGTTTGTTTAGCTACTTATTTTGAAAAATAAATTACTCGTTTATCCAATTGTCTCACTCCTCACTAGGTGTCAGCAGTTTTTAATCTTTTTCATTTTCGAAAATGCAAAATAAATTTTTTTTAGTTCTATAGATATTATATACATAAGCTCTATAGATTTTATATACATATTCATTTAAAAATATATTACATACTATAACAAATAAAAGGGAAAGAATTTAAGCTTAAATTTCTAAAAGCATCAAAACACCAGAAAAAATTTGTTGCACATGTATCATGATAGAGATACTTATGTTTTAATGGGCTTAGGTAATTAGTAAAGTCTGCATGTTTAACACATATTAAAGAGACAACTTTCATATAAGAAAAAATATTCAAAATTTTATTTTCTTCAAAATAAGTTAATTTGGTAAGGGTCCTAATAAATTGCAGATGATCTGAAAAAAAAATTTAATAGAAACTTAAATTAAGTTTCTTCAGAATTAAGAAATTTCTTAAAAATTGAGAAATTAAAAAATTAGGAAACATAATAGTCTTAATAAAAAAAAATTAATAAGCCCATTTTTTTTTTAGAAGTTTACAATTTTATAATAAGAAGTTGTTGAGCATTAGTTGTTAACTCAAAACGAAAGTTTTATAATAAGAAGTTGTTGAGCATTAGTTGCCAACTCAAAACGAAAATTTTATAATAAGAAGTTGTTGAGCATTAGTTGCTAACTCAAAACAAAAATTTTAAAGATTTTTAATTTCTACCACTTACTAAAAATTATTGAAATAAAAGGGCTATATAAAAATAAGTAAAGAAATGGTCAGTGTGAATTAGACTTACCATGACCCATATTATACAGATCATTAGTCCATTATTAAAATCCACATGTTTTTTAAACTTTTTATACCAATTGTATTAATGCAAACCATACAATCCAGTATCAAATATATGCAATCTCTGTTTGAATAAGAAGTACCAAATTTTATTATACAAAGCGTAAACCTAAATACAAAGAGTGAAATAATTTTTGAAATGTAGTGGCAAAAACAAATTTCTCCTTTACTTATTTGATATCAGAGATTAAATGTAGGTTATTTACATAACACTTTGTTTTCATGGATTTATTAGAACTCATGTCCCTGTAACTCTAATTTGAATATATTAAGGTTTAAGTTTTAATTTTGTAATTTATGGCTGATGATTGCCGTCAGGCATGAAACTTAAAGTTTCATAAAATAAAGGTTTTTTTCTTTTTCGATTTTAATTATATATATATATATATATATATATATATATATATATATATATATATATATATATATATATATATATATATATATATATATATACACACTTACTAAAGCGTGTTTTGATAAGCATTTGCTCACTTTTTCTGCTTACCTTAAGCTATACCATTTTTTTCTAAAAAGAAGAAAAAACGAAGAATGATGAATAAAACGATTGCTTCCCCATCCCAAACCCTCAGTCGATGTAGCAGCACTCCACTGCGAGTCAGACTATTTGTCAGTCGATGTATGTACTGAAGCCCCCAGCAGCAGGCTATTTCAGTATGACATCATATTGCTTACCTTAGTACACAATACTATTTGTATATATATATATATATATATATATATATATATATATATATATATATATATATATATATATATATATATATATATATATATGTAGAACCTATGATTCTGAATTTTGGAAATATTTGTCGACTATCATCCTCAACAAAAGAGATTATTATTAAAAACAGCACTGAAAAGATCATTCTGATTGATATTCAAGTAATTTTTTAATATAAATAGTATTTTTTTTATCAAAAGATAAGTTTTGCATGAAAATATGTCATCTTATGTAGCTGTTGTAGTTAATTGTTTTAATTTTAAAAATAATATGAGTAAAAACTTTTTAAATCTTTCTTTAAGTTGGAGTGCAAAGAGCTGCATTTAAATTCACCATTGTCTCAACTTGTGCCACCAAACAACACATCTAAAGTAGAACTTGTTTTGGATTCTCAAAAACTAGGATTATATGAAAAGTATTTCTTTGTATTCTTATTGTTTGTTATATGCTTATTATACTTTTTGTGTTTTTTATTATTATTATTATTTTTTTTTGCATAGTGTGCATATATGCATAAATAAGCAAATTCTTTTTACAGCTTCAAATCTTTTTTTAGAAGTATTGATTATATTATCAATGGTCATCATAAAAGTCATTTTTTAGTCCAAGCAAATATTGTGAAACTAAAATTAAAACTATCAACAGATAAACTTCATCTAACTTCTGTGAATGGAGCGCTGGTTGAGTCAGGTTAATCTCAATATGCAATCAAATGTTTTCCTCTAAAAGTCATTCAGTATTTATGATTTTATTGCAGTATATTTTCTTTTAACCTTATTTTTTACAGAATATGTTTAACTTATATACTGATTATGTTTTAAGGTCTTCGAAAACATGTTACTCTTATAAATGATCAAAATATATCAGCAAAGTTTACATGGTTTATAGAAAGTACTTCTAAAGAAACGTTTTTTAAAATTATGCCAGCTAAAGGTAAAATAAATTTAAACTTCTATCTAAAAAAAAATGTTGTTATTTTGTATTACTTTTTTTATAATTTATTTAAAAAAAAAAGAATTTTTATTTTTGTTTTATTTATTACTCCATTAAGTATTTAAAAATTACTAAGTTAACTATTCCTAATCTTTTTAACATGATCTATTGAAAAGTTCTTTTTCTTTGAAACTAGGAACTGTTGATGCGTTTTCTTCAATGGAGTGTGAGGTTGTATTTTATCCTTCATATTCCGCAAGTTTTAATGAAGAATTTGTTTGTAAAGTTGAGAATGGTAATACGTTGCATCTTAAATGTTCTGCTGAGGTAAAAACATATAGTAGACATTTTTTTTATCAACTAAGTTTGACTATTAGGGCATCATGTTTTAAACTAACAATCTAAACAAGCTTTTCACAGTTTTTTGTAGTTAATTGTTGAAGTTTATGCGACACTTTGGTTTAAAATTAAAGTTATAGTGGATTGAATAACCTAACCATATTCTAAAATAATTAAAACTTCTTTGTCTTCAGATGCTGCAATTTTCAAATATTATAATGTGTTTTATTTTAAGCTAGCTTTACATGTAATTTCATTAATATGACATTTTTGATTATATGAAAGATGATAAAATATTTTATAACTACAAAATCTATTCCTGTGGCATAAGGAAATTTGATTTTTGTTCCGATGTTCTAAGTAAAGATTTTAGTTAACGGCAAGACTGCATGTGACAAAGGTTTTGGCCCTTTATCAAAAATGTACAAACAGACAAGCATTTTTTAATATCTTTTTTTTTATAAGATTGATGACCCAATAAAAATTTTTTCGCTTCTTGTTTTGATATCATTTTTTTTTAGAGATATGTATATTTTTTCAAAATGTAGTAATAGGAAAAATAATAAAGAAAGATATTAAAAATATAAAGAAGTATTTAATTTGTAACGAAATGGATATCATTTAAAAATAAAAAAAAACTTGTGGGCGTACCTATTTTTAAGCTTCAAACTTTTCACAGATTTTTCTGTTAGCTTAAGATTAATAAGCTATTTACTGAAGTGAAGGTTTATATTTATAAATCTTAAGCCCTGTTTTTTTTTTTTTTTTTTTTTTTAGTTGATTAAGGTGCCCCAAGAAGTCCTTACGGTCTTATCACAGAGCACCGCGGAAGAGCATTTAATAGGAAGTTCACGCCTCCTTCCCAACCGATGTGGCAAAACTTGCCCAGAGGTGGGGTATGAACCACGGATCTTATGTTTCTGAGACAAGTGCGCTACTACTGCGCCATGGCTGCTCTGTTTTAATTACTTATATTAATCTGTACTAAAATTTAATCCTTTTTTTTTACATTTAGTACCTTTCTTCTATTTAAATTTCTATTAAAATTATTTAAATAGATTAGATTCATGACATCTCTTTTAAATTTCAGTAGAATGTAGACTACCAAATAGCAGTTTGAAAAATATGATCTTATTTTAGTTTTCAAAGGAAACCTATCAGAGCAGTAAAACAGACTAGTTTTTTTTTTCTTCGTATAATTGATTTTTAATTGAACACAATTTTATTAAGTGTGTCATCTTCACATTCTTTATTAAAATAAGATTTTTTTTAAAAATATACTTTAATACAGTTTTTCTTTACATAATAATATTTTTAAACTATGTTTGCATTACACCACGACTGTTTTTTTTAAATCAAAATAACTCCAAACTTTTGAAGTAATTGATAAATGATTGCAATTTCTTTAATACTAATTTAACTTTTCAAATGGGTTATGATAAATTTCAACCTGTAAACAACAAAACTAAGCAATACTTTTGACGATCAAGAAAAAATTTGATCATTGGCTTTAAAGTTAAGATATGCCTTAATATATTTCAATATATAGCTTGCTGCAAAATTCATTTGCTTTTAATTGATCAGCTTTTTTAGTTAATTTATGGTTTATTTGAGTTAGAATTAGTTCTTTATGTTTTAGAAAATTTTCTCAGTTTTAGCAATTAGTTTATTAGATTTAGAATAATAATTATTATGTAATATTTATTTACTAATATTTACAATTAATTAATGTAAAACTCTATAATTTTAAAACACTTTTGTTTTTGTTTTCAAGTTATAAAATAAAGAGGAAAAGAAATATAACATTCTTACCCACAGTTAAATCGCCAATTTTTTTTTTTTGGCTTTTATATTTTTTATTCAATTACTTTTAAAAGTATCTTGTATCTAGCTATGTGTATATGCATATGTATATGTATATATAGAACCCTCAGAATTAGGAAAAAATGAGGTGGGCAATAATTTGCTGACTCTAGCAAAAAAATTTTGTTACAAAGGTCTTACCATAAAAATAAAAAACTAGGTTGGCAATTTTTTTAGCCAACCTCAAACACTTTTAGGTTCGCAATTAGGTTGGCCTAGCCGAATGCCGACCCTAATGCCAAGGGCTGTATATATATATATATATATAAATATATATATTTATATAAATATATATATAAATATATATATATATATATATATATATATATATATATATATATATATATATATATATATATATATATATATATATATATATATATAAATACATATATATAAATATATATATATATATATATATATATATATATATATATATATATATATATATATATATATATCAATAATAAAAGTAATTTCTCGGTAGACAGTGCTCAATACAAAAGTAGAGCAAATATGTATTAAATTAATAATAAAATAAATACAATTAGATTAGAACCCTAACGTCTGATGATCGCATAAAGCGTGAAACTCCGAGTTATATATATATATATATATATATATATATATATATATATATATATATATATATATATGTATATATATATATATATATATATATATATATATATATATATATATATATATATATATATATATATTATATATATATATATATATATATATATATATATATATATATATATATATATATATATATATATATATATATATATATATACATATATATATACTTTGGTTTCTTTAATAGTTTAATTTTATTTTAGTTGGGTATCACTTCTTGTTCATTTGTTGAAAGTCGTCTTCTGTTTGGTAATATTCCATTAAATTTAACTACAACTCGGTCAGTTTTATTAAAAAATGATGGGAAAAATCATGCTTATTTTCAAGTAGGTGATTGTTTAAAATTGTTTGTATTTATATTAGGCAAATATATAAATTTTTTTTTGTTTAATTTTTTTATAAGTTATGAACTAGTTTTCCTGGCTTTCCAATTAAATTTTGTTTTTAATAAGTATGTAATCATTCACACAAAATATAAAGCACTCACAAATAAGTTTGTTAAATTTATTGTTTTGTCAAATTTATTTTAATTTACTTTAAGTTCATTATTATATGCAAATTTATCATACTGTTGCTTTACACATTTTACTGCTAAACCATAAATCTAGTATGCGAATATTTATATACAGTACAGAGTTTGCTTAGAGTATTGCTATATATTTTGTTTTGTTCTAACAGGTTATAAATCCCAGTCCACTTGAGGGAATCCTGATTTATCCAAGAGAGAATGTGATTCCAGTTGGAGGCTTTGTTAAACTTCAGGTATAATTGAATATAAATGAGATTTCTTTTGTTTTACATCCTTAAATTTAGATTTTATCAAAGAAGCCTAAGTAAGTAACAGGTAATCTAATAAAAATGAAGGAAAAATAAATTGTTATAAAGTTTATTATACCTTAAGCAATGATGTAGTAGAATTGATAAAATTGGTGTTAAAAATTACTTTTATCATTAAACATTCGCTAAATCAAGCTGCATGCAGCTGTAACTCCAGCAGCAATGTTGTGGTAGAGCGCTTACTTTATAAGCAAAAAGTTCTGAGTTCAATTCCCACCACGTTTGCGCAACGGCCTTGTTTGTCAAGTTTCATGTTTCAAAGTGAAAGAGTTGAGAGAGGGTTGTAACTATACTAAAATATCCTCCTTGACATTGGCATTCTCGGCCTTGGGGAGGTAAATAACATTAAAAAAATAAATCATATACAACACTATTTTGTTAAAAAATAAAGTTAAATAACTTTGTAAATGTTATAGATAAAAGTTTGCATCTAAATCATAAAATTGGTATTAAATGAGAGTTTTAAATAGAAAAAGTTTAAATAAATTATACAAATAAATTTTACAATTTATAAACTTAACTTTAAATAAGTTTGAATCTATATTGAATAACAGCATAGATTTATTAGAACTCAAGGTTTGTCCCCCATTTGGTAGAACAAGGTAGGTCCCCAGTTGGTTAATAATGGCAGTAGCAACCAGAATAATTAAAAAACCATAAAATTAATTTTTACTTCTTTTTAAACACAAAATATCAAATTTGTACACTGGCTAATATATAAGTTTACAATAAAAAAAAACTGTTGAGCTGTTTATTGTTACATTTAATTTTCAAATTTGTACACTGGCTAATATATAAGTTTACAATTAAAAAAACTGTTGAGCTGTTTATTGTTACATTTAATTTTCAAATTTGTACACTGGCTAATATATAAGTTTACAATTAAAAAAAACTGTTGAGCTGTTTATTGTTACATTTAATTTTCAAATTTGTACACTGGCTAATATATAAGTTTACAATTAAAAAAAACTGTTAAGCTGTTTATTGTTACATTTAATTTTCAAATTTGTACACTGGCTAATATATAAGTTTACAATAAAAAAAAACTGTTGAGCTGTTTATTGTTACATTTAATTTTCAAATTTGTACACTGGCTAATATATAAGTTTACAATTAAAAAAACTGTTGAGCTGTTTATTGTTACATTTAATTTTCAAATTTGTACACTGGCTAATATATAAGTTTACAATTAAAAAAAACTGTTGAGCTGTTTATTGTTACATTTAATTTTCAAATTTGTACACTGGCTAATATATAAGTTTACAATTAAAAAAAACTGTTAAGCTGTTTATTGTTACATTTAATTTTCAAATTTGTACACTGGCTAATATATAAGTTTACAATTAAAAAAAACTGTTGAGCTGTTTATTGTTACATTTAATTTTCAAATTTGTACACTGGCTAATATATAAGTTTACAATTAAAAAAACTGTTGAGCTGTTTGTTGTTACATTTAATTTTCAAAAGTTCAAGAATAATAACAAACATTAATTTTTAGCAACTTGACAATAAATAGTAACAAAGTAGCTTTTAACATAACAATAACAACAAATTAAAGACAGTAATCATAAAAATATTTTTCAGATTAGTTTTAAGCCAACTGTACCTCAAAAGTTTGAAACACTACTTGAGATTGATGTTTTAAGTGGAAAACAAATATCATTACGATTTAGTGGAGTGGTTGATACACCCAATGTTGATATATCAGTGGTGAGTATTATATCTTGCTGGTTTGATTCCGCCAGGTATCTTGTTTTTCTAATTTTAAATAATTAAAAACTCAATTTTGTAATTGAAAGTAACATTTAAATTTTATAGAAGTTAGCAATATAGTTACCATAAATTATTTAATTTTGTTTTTAGAAATCATTTAATTTTAGTGGTGTCTATGGAGGCTCCATTTCAAAGTTACCATTTGAAATAATTAATTTGGTATGTATAAGATTTCTAAGTTTATCATCTATATAGCTTTTTTTTTAAAAAAACATCAAATTATTTCATTACTATATGTGTTTTACATATTGATTTGCTACCATCAACACCTCTACCTCCTTTAATGTTTCAAAACGTGTTAAAATAATGCTTTTTACTGTTTATTTCTTTAAGGCCAAATCTAATGCAAAGATTATTTTTGACTTATCAGTGTTTAAAGACTTTAAAATAACTGATGCCCAAGAAAATATCAAAGAGAATAATAACAATTTTGAAGTTTTGTTAAAAGGAGAAGAAAAATTTAATGCATTTCTTGAATTTCATCCTGACCAGGTTTTTAATTTAGTTACAATATTTATGTTATTACAATACTATTAAAATTATTAATTTGTGATTAACAATTATGATAACTATTTTTGCCCTATTTTTTCTACTTGTTTTTTTTTTTCAAATATTTATCAATATTGTATTTAATGTTAATTTTTTTATATTTAACAATGGGACATTTTATACATGAAATAACCAATGATAATGTCCATATGAAATAGCCATTTATGGGATTTTACTACATACATTAGCTGTGGGTCTTGGAAGCGGTATCTATCTATGAAGAATTTTTATTGCAAAAAAAAATAAACTTTTTTTTTTTTTAAATCTTTTTTCTCCTTATCTGGAAAATTTTCTGGGTTAGTCAATATTTTAAAAACACAATTTTCAAAAATGTCTGAAACTTTCAGTCGATGTATCTATTGAAACCTTCACAGATGACTATTTCAGTATGATATCATTAGTGACTTTTTCATTTATACTCAAGTATGCAATATATATATATATATATATATATATATATATATATATATATATATATATATATATATATATATATATATATATATATATATATATATATATATATATATATATATAAATATATATATATATATATATATATATATATATATATATATATATATATATATATATAATAGTAACTCTCAACTTAATAGTGGTTGTTTGCAGCCTTGTTGGTAGTGAATCAGAATTAAAAAATATATATGTATATGTATATATATATATATATATATATATATATATATATATATATATATATATATATATATATATACATATATATATATATATATATATATATATATATATATATATATATATATATATATATATATATATATATATATATATATATATATATATATATATATATATATATATAGATAGATAGATAGATAGATAGATAGATAGATAGATAGATAGATAGATAGATGAATATGTATACATGTATGCAAGTTTTAAAAAATGTAGCAAATCTATCATTTCCACTAAAATTTTTCTTGTGGTAACTCTATTTGTTTGAATTTTTTTTGGAAAAAAATATTCAACCAACATACTATTCATATCTATTTTTAGCAAAAAAAATGGAGGTGAGGGGAGAGTATTAGTTCATAGTTATAATTATTTTATAAATTTTTTTTAGGTTGCTACGTATGATTTCATAATTCCTTGTATAGTAAATGATTTAGACCCCATGTCTATATATTTCAGTTCACTATATCATAAAATCCTGAAGTATTTGTTTAAATTGTTTTTTATTTTTTTTATTCTTGATTTATTTTGTTATCCTCTTTGCAAACAGACACACATGTATATGTATATATTATATTCATTATTTCTTTATAGGAGAGTACAAGGAATTGCCTTAAGACAACCTCTTTCTATATCTGAAAAAAAGTTAGAATTTTCTTTATCAAGCAGTTATTTTGAAGGAGACCTCAATAATAAAAATGACTGCATTCAGGTTATTATTGTGCAATACTTATATTCTGTAAAAAATAATTTCATTACTCAAAAATGTATTGGTTTTTTTTTTAGGTAATTTGCTTAAAAAATATTAGCAATGAAACAATTAAGTGGTCACTAGATATCTCAAATCAACCACTAGTAAAACAAAGCATTTTTATACTTGATGTTGGTAATTCAGTTATGCATCTTAAAAGTGGTGAAGAATTTAATTTAGCAATATTATTTAAACCAAGTAGGCAAATTTGTTTGGTCTGATAAAAAGGAAACTTTATTCAGTAGGAAATAACTTATAAAATTATAATTTTTAATTTAGCTTCAAATTCAATTTCTTTTTATTCCACAAAAATTCCCATTTTACTGCATGAAGATTTAGTTCAGGTGTATTCCTATATTGAATTAAATGGCAAAGTTTTATTACCCAAATTGGTTTTTCAACCTGAATTTATCCATATTCCTCCTGTACCTTTATGTCAAATTACTTCTGCAGAAGTTGATGTTTTAGCATACAACTATACAAGGTTTTATTCTACTCTTTTTTAGGTTTATTGTTCACCTATTTATCTAGTATATCAGAAACTATTCTACTTAGTTATTATAGTAAATGATATTTGTTATTTGATTTAAAAAAAGTTTCTTGCCAATTATTTGTAAATTTGATCTATAGTTAAATTGGCCTTTTTAAACTGTAAACAAATAATTGGTATATAAAATCTTGTTATTAAATATTTTTTCGATTTATTATCAGTTTTATAAAAAACATAACTTTTACAGTTACAGTTAATTGTGGTCAAATTTTTTCAGATTTAAAATATATCTAAAGTCTTGTAATACCTGTTTGACATTTTTTGCTATAATTCTTATTTTTAGGTTCTGTGAGTTATCTATTTACATACCAAAAATTGAGTTTAATGGTGAAAACTTTGAATCACTCTTATCCGTTGAATTACCAAATGGTTCTCAAATTAAAAAACTTCATGAAAGTGAAACTCAAGTTATTAAAATTATTGTTAAGTTTGTGTCAGCGAAACCAATATTTTTCTCCACACAAATTACATTAACGGACAGTAACAATAGGTAATAACACTTTTGCTATATACATATATATATATATATATATATATATATATATATATATATATATATATATATATATATATATATATAAATGTATATATATATATATATATATATACATATATATATATATATATATATATATATATATATATATATATATATATATATATATATATATATATATATATATACATATATATATATATATATATATATATATATATATATATATATATATATATATATATATACATATATATATATATATATATATATATATATATATATATATATATATATATATATATATATATATATATATATATATATATATATATATATATATATATATATATATTTATATACAAACTTTCTATTCAGCACAAAACGTGTAAATATTTTAATAAATAATTATTATTATTTTTTTTTAATTTTTGTTAAAATCATTTATTTTATAAAATACATGTTTCGACTATATCATAGCCACTCATCATTTTTTGCAACTAACTAAAATAAAACAAACAATTCCATGATTACCACTGTTTTTTATAAAAAAACTTTCTTGAAAACTCTACACAAGCTTTTCTAGTTTTACTTCATTTTCATAGAAAGTTAGTCTGGTTAAATGTTAATCACATCATAAATTATGTTTACACATTAGCATTAATGTTTTTTTATTTTTCATTCTGAGGCCTTCCATTGTTGTTAGCATACTTTTTATTTTATGATCGGTTTTTTGTTTTATAAGACTTTTGTCTGGTGATGTATTTGTTGTATATCTTCGTTCATATTGGTGTTTATATAACAATTTGTTTTTTTGTTTTTTGTTTTCATTGTTATTGTTGTTGAGTACTGTTTTGGGTATATAGTCTGTCTTATTTATTTTTAAATATTCCTCTATTAATCTTTATTTTTGTCTTGACAACTGTCAAAATATGCTTTGTTCAATAAGTAATTCTCCTTTTTTCTAATGTACTTCATTTCTTCCCTCAGGCATTCACTGCTTGTGTGTGACCATTCGGCAAATTTTATATGCCAAAGTTTTTAAATAATATTGGGCCTAGCCCATAAGGGTTAGTGTTACGGTCATCGAGCATGACTATTTTCCTAGTAACAATTACTGTCGCTGCGAAAGAGGATATTTGTCTATGGAAAATCCCTGGGCTTGTTTTTTAGTCATAAGTCAGTTTTAAATCCATGCATAGGTGTTTAATCCATCATGATTTTCTAGAGTGATCATCATGATTTTCTGGAGTATGGCTGGGCTGGCTTGGTGTAGTTCAGAGATAAATCTTTTACTAACAACACAAGACTCTACTGAACGAAATAAACAGCACAGACTTACACATTACACCTATACACCCTTATGCACATATAACCTGTTTACATCGTTTGCATGCTTTTTGTTCTTTCATAGATAAACTATTTTTATTTGAACTCATCCTTATTTAGATAATATTTTCTTTTAAAAGATAATATGTGGTTAAAATGTAGATATAGATTTGTATGTTATGTTTTTGTGATTATCATGTGTGATTGAGTTTTTCATTTTAGGATTCATATATATATATAAATAAATATGAGCGATTCTTATAAACTAGCGGCTTTTGACATGTTTTTAGGATGTATGTTTCTCCTTGTTATTTTGTTATGGTCTCAAAATTACATTTAATTCGGACCAGAGAGAAAACTTTACTTTTCGAAAATTTTGATTTAGATATGGTCTCAAAGTTTCTTGTAATTCAGATGGTAGAGAAAACTTTACTTCTTAACAATGTTTTGTCCCGCTTTGCACATTGTTTTTATATCATGACTTATATCACTGTTATATCACCCAAAACAAATTTTTAACCATTCATTTGGCTTAATTTATCTGGCTTTAGTTATAGTATTTAGTTAGTCTTATTGCAATATTCATTAATATATTATTTATCTGGTGATTTCCATGTTATTACTGTTTACTATGAATTTTTATGTTATATTATCTTGCGTTTATTAATCTGCTTTATTTTAATTTTCATATGCACAATTTTCATCTTTTATTATTATTCAGAGAATTTTTCTATATCCTTCATTAAATGTTTACATATATGCTGGTGACATTTTTATGGTTTTTTGTTGCGACGATTTTTTTTGCAATCATATATTGTTCTATATATTGTTCAATTATTGTTATGATTTTTGGTTTCACGGGTTTCTCATTTTCCTACATTTTTGATTGGTTATCATATTTCGAATGAGGTATCTATGACAGCGTTAGAGTTTATTTAAGGCTATTGTTGTTTTGTTGATTAAAAAATATTATTGTGGGTAAACTTTACTTTTCAGATATTTTGATTTTGATATGGTCTCAAAATTTCTTTTAGTTTGGACCGTAGAGAAAACTTCACTTTTGTAACAATTTTTTTTCCCGCTTCGTACATTGTTTTTATATCATGACTTATATCATTGTTATATTACCCACAACTTATTTTTTAACCACTCATTTGGCTTAAATTTATCTGGTTTTATTACAATATTTATTGATATATTATTTATCTGCTGATTTTCATATTATTACTGTTAACAAGGAACTTTTATGTTATATTATCTTGCATTCATTACTGAGCTTTGTTTAAATTTTTACATGCACAATTTTAATCTTTATTATTATTCAGAGAATATTTTTATATCCTTCATTAAATGTATATATATATGCCACTTACATTTTTAAGGTTTTTGTGCAAAGTTCTTTTTTGCTATCATATATTATTCGATTATTGTTATGATTTTAAGTTTCGCGGGTTGCTCATTTTCCTACACTTTTGATTGGTTATCATATTTCGAATGAGGTATCTATGACAGCATTAGAGTTTATTTAAGGCTTTTGTTGTTTTGTTGGTTAAAATTATTTTTAATGAGATATACTGCTTTCTAATTATCTTGGCTTGTTTATGCTAATAATACCTATTTGGTTTTATTTCTTAAAATAAATTTATTAATATTTTTATGGTTCTATTAGAATTTTAAATTATTTTGTTTTCATGTTTTCTTTTGGTGGTATGGTAAGTGTTTTATTTAAATATATCTATTTTTGTTTGTTCAGTAGATCTACAGTTTTATATCATATCATCAAAAAAAATTGGTGCTTTACAAATTTGGGGTTGGTTGGGTTTTGGCTATTTGTAGTGAGTCCTTTTTTACTCGAGTATGGAATAGGCGTAAGTCGCAGGGTAAAACATAAGTGGCGATGACGTTTGTCTGACGGGATAAACTAATTATAAATGCTGATCATCATTGAGATGCCAGTAATAATAGACGCGACTCTGAGGAGATGTTTATTACTTAATCACTACACAGATTATGTTTACACATTAGCATTAATGTTTTTTTGTTTTTTTTTCCATTCTTAGGCCTTTCATTGTTGTTAGCACACTTTTTATTCTGTGATTGGTTTTTTGTTGTATATCTTCGTTCATATTGGTGTTTATATAACAATATATATATTTTTTTATTGTTATTGTTGTTGAGTACTGTTTTGGGCGTATAGTCTGTCTTATTTATTTTTAAATATTCCTCTGTTAATCTTTATTTTTGTCTTGACAACTGTCAAAATATGCTTTGTTCAATAAATAGTTCTCCTTTTTTCTAATGTACTTCATTTCTTTCCTCAGGTGTTCACTGCTCATGTGTGACCATTTGGCAAATTTTATATGCCAAAGTTTTTAAAGAATATTTTTATTATACAGTTTTTATTATATAACTAGCAGTAAGCAACTCTTAATACGCGTTATTAGTAAATAAAATAAAAAAAAAACAGCGTATAGAAAAGCCTAGCAACTACTTTAAAATAGAAAAGCCTAGAAAATGACGTAATTCGACTAATAATATTAAATTAGCGTATTAATATTATCAGATTATATTTAAGTATTTTTTCATTTTTGTTTTGTTGAATGATTTATTCAGTGATTAGTGTAGTGGAGTGTATATACATTGACTGACTTAAATAGAAAGAACATGCAGTAAGAGTAGATATGTATGTATATATATATATATATATATATATATATATATATATATATATATATAATATATATATATATATATATATATATATATATATATATACACATATGTTGTGCTCAAATTCAACTATGACTTTGGGGACATCTATTATAAGTGCTAGAATCAGATTAGGCAGCGGGTCTATCTCCACATAGTAGGAGAAGAGCAAGAAATTTGTGCGAGTTTTGAGCTATCTACATTTGTGCGGAATCCCAAAAGGGCAAAGGTGTTATCTCCTTTGCCATCTGACTATACCGGAGATATCTTCTTTGCCCTATGATGTAATTCTTGAAAATGGCAGACAATAACAAACGAAATATAATGAATAAACAACCTTTTATCAAAACAGAGGTAATTTTAAATAGTTTTTTTCGTAATTTTAAGAATTCACCATGGAATTAAACAATGGTTCAAAAAAGCAAACTTTCACTGAACCAAAAATTGGACGCAAACAAGGCAAAAGACCAAATCTTTGGAAACGATTTGTTAAAAGAGAGAAAGGAATGGCATACAAGACACGAAAAGGTAAAGCAGTACCGCCCAAAACACCTAGAACGGTGAACTGTTTAAAGTGCAAATTCAAGTGTGGAGAACATTTTGAGGAAACCAAACGACTAGAAATAAATAAACACTACTACCAACTAGAGGGTGAAAATAGAAAAAAAGATTTCATATGCCATTTAATGAAAAGTAGCAATGTTTCACGTTGTCGTGACAATTCAGGAATAAGACCAAAAACAATATCCTGTGCATATCATCTGCCAGTGGAAGCGAATGAAAACATTGTCATTAGAGTGTGCCAAAATTTTTTTTGCACAACTTTAGACATAAGCAAGAAAACTGTTCAGTTTGTTGTAAAAAATAAAAATGAGATTGGTCTTTTCATACCACTAAATTCAAAAAGGAAAAACTCCAGCCAATAAGACTCGAGAGCACATCCTAAGCTTTCCTCAGGTCGAATCTCACTACTGTCGGGCTTCATCAAAGGCAAAATACCTTAGTCCTGAACTAAGTATTGAGGAACTTTATAGACTATACAAAGATGATTATTGCAAAACGAAAAATATCACAGATCCAGTTTTTATCGGTGTATATCGAAGAATATTTTTTACTGATTTTAATATAAAATTTTTTATTCTCAAAAAAGACCAATGCTCAATTTGCAATGCTTTTTGAGATGCCAGTGGTGATGATAAAGAAACGCTACGACCAAGTTATGACAGTCATAAATTTCATGAAAAGGAAGCTATGGACGAAAAAAATTCTGATAAGACTGCATCTGCTGCTGACAAGTCCATTCGTTCTATAACTTTTAACCTCGAAGCAGTGTTACCACTTCCATTTGCAGGTGATGCACAAATTTTCTATATGCGGAAACTTGCCATTTATAATTTTACTATTTATGAAACGTCGACCAAAAAAGGAATTTGTTACCTATGGGATGAAAGTGACGGTAAACGAGGAGCCAATGAAATAAATACAGCTCTTTTAGATTATATGAAGTCTCTTCCAGTTTCTGTGAAGAAGGTTCATATAATCTAACAGAGATTTTTTTAATGACAAACTTTGTCATAAAAAAATTAAGTTTTTTTAAGTTGAGTTTGGGTAGAAATTTGGGAGCCGATACCAGTATACCGGTATCAAAATTGGCCAGGATATGTTGCTCTGGACAAAATAGAAACCAATTTATTGTTGCGACAATGATGTACATTGTTCAAACAACTCACCTGGAATGCATCGATATGAAGTATATGGAGTCGGGTCATTCTTATTTAGAAGTTGACTCTATGCACAGTACTATTGAACGCAGTAAGAGCCATCAAAAAATTTACACTACACGAGAATACGAAGTTCTGATTGCTGCAGCGCGCAAGAATCCGTGTCCACATCTTGTTAAACCACTGCAACACACTGATTTTTTTGACTCAAAACAACTTTGCGGTAAAATTGTGAAAAATCATACAAAAAATATTAAAGGTGAAACCGTCAACTGGTTGAATATTAAGTGGGCAAGGTTTAAAAAGTCAAGACCGTTCATTATGCAGTACAAATATAGCATTACGTCGCCTACCTTTATGGAAATAAATGTACAGTCTGGAAGAGGATGACGATCCAGCATCAAAGGATTAGAGCCTCAGCCATTGTATCCTACTCGCCTGCCTATTTCGGATGCAAAAAAAAAAGATCTCATGCGCATGGTGAAATCGCATGTTATTCCACCAGATTATGCCCAATGGTATAACAATCTACCGTCTGCAGTAGCCATGAGAGACAGTTTACCAAAACCAACTGCTGATGAGTCAGAAATTGATGAATCGGACTATGAAGACAACTAGAACTAAGACTTAGTTTTCTGTCAGTCATTTTTTTCAGTATTACTATTATTATTCTGTTATATAATTTTGCTATTAAAACAATTTTTGTTCTTAACTCGGACTATGAAGACAAGTAGCACTAAGACTTACTTTTCTGTCAGTCATTTTTATCAATATTACTATAGTAATTATTCTGTTAAATTTTGCTATTATAACAATTTTTGTTCTTTACTCAGACTATGAAGATAACTAGAACTAAGACTTTTTTTTTGTCAGTCATTTTTTTCAGTATTATTATAATAATTATTCTGTTATATAATTTTGCTATTATAACAATTTTCTGATTTTTCTGCTAATTAAGATTAAGATTTCACTTAGAATTTAATATTGATTACAAAAACATTGTTTACAAATTTTTAAATTCTGTTCAATTCACAGTTAATTTGAGTAAAGGTTTTATCTCCATGGTAATTGTAAAATTTGTCCCAAAATGTTACTAATTTTAAAAAGTTTGAACCATGATTATCATTATCTGATAGTTTACACAATCATAAAAAGCATTTTGTATTAATTAAAAAAGAATTTTAATTGGATTCATTATGTTTATAAATTTCAAAAATTCCATTCAACTCGCAATTAATTTAGGCAAAGGTTCTATCTCCATGATGACTTTTAAAATTTGTGCCATACTCTCTTCAATGTTAATAATTTCAAAAAAGTTGAATTATTCCTATCATGTTTGATAGTTCTAATTGATCAAAAAACATTAACACTAACAAAAAATGAAATTGCTGATTTATGCTTAATGCTCAAACTTTGTTTTTGTTCTCCTGCAAAACTACCCAAAATGGAGATAGAACCTCTGCCCTCTAAGGCAACGATATATATATATATATATATATATATATATATATATATATATATATATATATATATATATATATATATATATATATATATATATATATATATATATATATATATATATATATATATATATATATATATATATATATATACACACACACACACATATATATATATATATTAGGATTATGACTTTTTAGGATTTGTGACCCAGAATGTTTCTGGGTCTTAAATTGATGAATTTGTAAAAACAGATAAAAAAACCATTAATTTGATTTTTTTAATTTGAAACCATTAATTTGATTTTTTTGTGGAAAAAGGTCACCCACAAACCAAAAATTCCAATTTACAATTAAAGCATATAGATAAAATTTCAAACAGTTTTATGATCTTTTTTTTAATGTGGGTTTAATGAGGGTTTTTTTGTAATTTTTAAGTTCTTTAAAGTTTAATGTTACATCATAACACTCTAAACTTAAAATAAATATAAAAAATTAAAAAATAAATATAAAAAATTAAAAACTTAAATAACAATTCTACAAATATAAATAGCTACTGTATTTATCAAAAGAAATTTTTTACCTGTATAAATGTCCTGTCTTTGGAGGAACTTTTTAGACAAACTTAAAAAAATATATAATAATTTTTATTTGTACTCCTTAATTGCTAATATAAAGAGTAAAGAATAAGTTTATTTCTATATTGCTTCTTCTCTGTGTACCCTTTATTGAGGGTACTTGAGAGACAAATGTTATAACTACAACATTTAATATTCAATATATTTATATTAATACTTATATTAATACTAGATTAAAAAGATTTATTACATAGCATATTTATTGCATAGCAAGGTCATTTATTCAATCAAAAAATAATAACTTTTTTTGTTGTTCTTCTCTAGGGTTGCCATTGCTTATTTTATCAATTGTAAATGTAGCTTTTTCTAAACGACATTAATAACAATTTTGTAAATATTACAACAAATTTTATCATTTTAAAACAGCAATACAATAAGTAATAAAGAATTATTTTATTTTAATTTTTTTAATGACAAACTTTTTCATAAAAAAATTAAGTTTTTTTAAGTTGAGTTTGGGCAGAAATTTGGGAGCCGATACCAGTATACCGGTATCAAAATTGGCCTGGATATGTTGCAAAAAGTGTAGTATACAGTTCTTATGCTTTGTTAGAAAAAGTAAATCTAAGCTAGAGGTTCTCTTTCTTTTTAAAGATGAAAAAAGTATTTTGAAAATACTTTATCGCTCTTTTCTAATCTTTACTGTTCTTGATTTGAAAATTTTTCCACTAAGTTTAACTTTTTTATGACCGTGCAAGGTGCTATATAGCTTCCAATAATCATCTGCATTGTATGTTAGGTTTGCTTATATGTAGGAAATGAATCTACAAATATTGAGTAGTGAGTCTCTTTCCTCTTGTTGAATAATAAGTCTGGAGAATAAATGCCAAAAGAGCTTGTATTCTTCACTTTAAGAGCTTGAAACTATTCTTCACTTTAGAAACTATTCTTCACTTTAGAAACTATTCTTCACTTTAGAAAATATTCTTCACTTTAGAAAATATTCTTCACTTTAGAAAATATTCTTCACTTTAGAAACTATTCTTCACTTTAGAAACTATTCTTCACTTTAGAAACTATTCTTCACTTTAGAAACTATTCTTCACTTTAGAAACTATTCTTCACTTTAGAAAATATTCTTCACTTTAGAAACTATTCTTCACTTTAGAAACTATTCTTCACTTTAGAAACTATTCTTCACTTTAGAAACTATTCTTCACTTTAGAAACTATTCTTCACTTTAGAAACTATTCTTCACTTTAGAAACTATTCTTCACTTTAGAAACTATTCTTCACTTTAGAAACTATTCTTCACTTTAGAAACTATTCTTCACTTTAGAAACTATTCTTCACTTTAGAAAATATTCTTCACTTTAGAAAATATTCTTCACTTTAGGAAATACTCCAGATTCTTCAAAAAAGCAAAATACCCAAGTTAAATAAAATTTCGTATCATCACACCATCTCGCTATTTCAGTAATCACTTCTTCACCATTCTTGAAACTTTCCTAAAGTTCTTTACAAGTTCTGGGATAAACAGATATTCAATATTGGGCAACATGTTTTTTCCTCCAAGTTCTTCATCCATTACAACATGAAGGACTCAATCAAGAACATGGTGTTGATAACCAATAAATTGTGGTTCTTCCAGATTCTTTTTAGTAAAGCATCTTTGAAACTGACTGACAATCCCATTCCTTCTTTCAGTGTTTACATTTGTAGTGTTTTTCACAATCATTTTTATACTTTTCCATTAATTTTATTCATCAAGAATAACTGTTATACCTTTACAACAGTATCTGATTTTCTATCTGATAGATCTAGTGTTTGTAACTTTTCTATCTGATAGATCTAGTGTTTGTAACTTTTCTATCTGATAGATCTAGTGTTTGTAACTTTTCTATCTGATAGATCTAGTGTTTGTAACTTTTCTATCTGATAGATCTAGTGTTTGTAACTTTTCTATCTGATAGATCTAGTGTTTGTAACTTTTCTATCTGATAGATCTAGTGTTTGTAACTTTTCTATCTGATAGATCTAGTGTTTGTAACTTTTCTATCTGATAGATCTAGTGTTTGTAACTTTTCTATCTGATAGATCTAGTGTTTGTAACTTTTCTATCTGATAGATCTAGTGTTTGTAACTTTTCTATCTGATAGATCTAGTGTTTGTAACTTTTCTATCTGATAGATCTAGTGTTTGTAACTTTTAAAAAAGTGCTTTGAACTTGAAAGATGATTATTTCTAATACTTTTTAAGAAATGAACATTGTCATAATATAGATTTTTTTTTCTTCATATAAAATAAAAAGATCTTCTTTAGCTTTACCAGTTCCAAAATATTTAATTGACAGCTCAATACCTAAAGCTGCTAATTTTTTTTTAAAACAGACAATGATGGTAGAGGTGATTTTCTTGTAAGAGAATGTATGATTGCTTTGAAGTATAGGGTTTCAATAATGAATATGGTTTTCTACCATTTGGTTTAAAATATTTGATACTATGTGTTTCATTTAAAACAATATTGGTTTTTTCTGGAACAAAGTTGCACATATAAGAAGCAAGGTTTTTTAAAATACTTTAATTTTTATGATTTGGTTTTGCTTAAATCAGTGTGAAAGAGGAACTTGACAACCTTATTGCAATTTTACATGCAAAGTGGAATTAATTTTTATTGATTCATTGTCAGGGAGTGTTATCAATAGATAATACATTAAAAATACAATAATATAAGACATGGGAGTCAAATTTTTGAAAAACAAAACCAACAGGAATGAAAATGAATCTAACATTTTTATGTGTTTAAATCTTTTTCCATAAAAAAAATCATTCATTTTAAATGATTCATCTTGAATGATTATATTGATTAAATATGAATGATTGTAGCATATCTAGTAGGAAATTTTCTTGATGAACCTGAAGTAGATAATAATATAAAAAATGGAATTTTTTGTTTTGCTTTTTACTTAATCTGAATAAATGTTTGGTTATAGTTCAAAATTATAAATAAGAGTCATTCTAACACCATGCTTTAAAAATTTTGGATCAAAATGGACATTTTGATCCAAATTTTTCTATTAACAAATGTAATCCACTTTTTTCCTAACTCAGGTCGCTTTATAGGATCAGGAAAGGAAAAAATATTATTGACTTTGTTATAAGTTTCTGAAGTGTATTTTTAAGAATACCTTTTTGTATTTGATATTTTGCTTTTTGTATCCACTCCTACAGCATATCACGGCACACTTGGTTTTGTAAGTATTAAGAAGTCTAGAAAAAAAATATTTCTTATTTTATAAGTCACAGAAAACTTTTTTTTTTTTTAATTTTTTAATCTAGTTTAGATTAATTTAGATTCTAATTCAAATCTAATTATGATATTTATTCACTTATATATAATACATATTATAGTATTATAACACAATAATTATATACTTAATTAAAATCTAATTTAAAAACTTTAATATTAATAAGTTCTTTATAAGTAAACTCATAATAAAATCCATAAACAAGTAATTTCACAACAATAAAAAAACTGGCTTCCAATTTTTTTGCCATAAAATCCTACAAACCTGGCCGTGTGATTATTGTAGATCATGGTATCATGCTTTTATTAAAAAACCCATTTTTTAACAATTTAAAGTTCTTGATAGTATAAATTTTATGTTGCACCTGCAATGCTAGATATATTGGTTAAAACCTCCAGAAATAAATTTTACCATTTATCTTTACCCATTAGTTTATTGATTCCTATAAAATATTTTAAAATATTATAAATAACTCCACACTTTTACATATAGTCTGTTTGCAATTCATAGTAGTTATGTTTTTTTTTGTTTGTTATTTTTCTATCTTTTAGCTTTTCCCTACCTGTTACTGCTAGTGCTGATAATTGTCTTTTGACTTGTTCAAATTTTTTAATTAACAACCAGTGTGATTTTCACATTATTTGTAAAGAAGGAAAAAAGTCAAATAGTGGTACATCAAGTTTATTTGTACCATGCCTTTCTGCAATTGAAAGTGCAGTTGCCCCTTCTTTTTCCACTAGTAACACAAGTTTGTACACAACAACATACCAAAATTCTGAACCCATGGGATCATCTCAGTTTTCTGATCACTCATATTCTAAAATATCAGGTTAGTCAGGGTTTAGTCTTTAATAACTTGATCTGAATATTTTTATTTTAGCTTTATAAAATATTTGTTTTATAATTGTTTGGATGTAAATAAAGAATGTGTATACTATTGATAAACAATATATTCTATTGTAGTTTCAATTGAAAAAAATTTTAAAACAAATAATGAAATTGTTGAAAAAGAGTGTAACATTGTTCAAAGGTTAGTTATTACTAATATTTTATTAAAATAATTTTATTTAAATTGGTTAAATTGAATTCTAAATGTTAATTGTATTATTATATATATTTTTTTATAAAACAGATGGTTTTCCTCTCAGTGCTGGAGCTTTGGATCTTTTCCCATATATTTGCCTTACACATTACGTGAAAACTTTTCTGTAGAAGTATTCATATGGAGAATAACTAACAGTTCCCTTGAGGGAAAGGTTAGATTCATGAATGTTTTTGATTTGATTGCTCATTTATATGGCAAATCTATACCTGGTATTACAGTAAAAATGTTGCTATCTTTAAAAAAAGAAGAAGACTTAGTAAAATGCATAGTAGAAATGTATTTGAAAATGTTAACTTTTTTAAGGTAATTTTGTAATTTTATATGCCAACAAGTTAAATAGTTTACTTCATTTTCTTCTTTTCCTTCCCTCCAAATACTATTTAATTGTGTAATCCTTTATTTTAGATTATTGCAGTTTTTCAAAATAAAGTAATAAAATATTTCTTTGCTAATAAATTAATTACTTTTATCAAGTTTTTATATTTTCTATTATGCATTTTTGGATTGTTTTGTCATTGAACCTTTAGGTTCTTTTCTAGGCAACTGATTAAAGAAGTCAACTCTGACTTTAAATTACCCCCTTCCCTGCCTTAAAATTTTTTTTATGAGTAAAGGCGAGTCATGTTTTAATAAAAGCTAGATGGCATCTTAATTAAAATACTCATCTGGCTACTGTCTTATAGAAGGTCTTCTAGATAAAGACTTTTGGGGTTAGAAAAAATTTCTACTACCCCATTTTGCAGTTAATCAGATCTTTATGACTCTACTCAAGGGTTTTGTTTGCACTACTTTGGTAGTTCTGAGGCAACTGGTAGTAAGGTTTCTCAAACTCTGTGGTAGCTCTCAGAAAGGTTTATTCAATTAACAGCTATAAAATATTAGAGTATTGATAATAATCATGGTTAAGACAACATAAGGTTCCTTTCGTTAAAACATTGGGTCAAATAATAGAAATGGCAACTGCATGCATTATTACTAGTGAATAGTACAATAGAAATGGCAACTGCATGCATTATTACTAGTGTGTCACGCAGTATTTATGATTAAGTCAAGTTTTCGAGTAATTTGAAACATGAATAAAAGACTAAGATATTAAACAAAAGAAAGGCATCATTACCATTAAACTATTTAGTTCTATCCTTTTCAAATAGTCTCAAATAGTCTTTAAAGTATCTGTTACAAATACTACTTCTTGCAAAATTCATCAGACCTACTAACTGTTTAATTCTATCTTTTTCAAATAGTCTCAAATAGTCTTCAAAGTATCTGTTACTTATACTACTTTTTGCAAAATCAGACCTTCTTGCTCTTAGCAAGAATAATTTAAATAAGATTGTTTCAACATCAGATCTCAGTATTAACAGTTATCATCCTTTGATTTGCAAAGACTTCGATAGTCACATACTTGACTGACTATTTTTTTATGTGCTTTTATTTAGCATTTCTTTAGTTAATCAATTTTCTTTTTGTTCTTTACTGTTCTTCTTTCATCCCAAGACCAAACTCTTTTCAAATTTATTTTTGATGAAATTGAATAAGCTCTTAATCTATCAAATAATATTTTTGTTATTAATGACTTTAATGCCAATCACATACCTTTACTTTTGATTTGTGACTTGTCTTTGACCCTAGCATGTAATTAGTTTATTCTTGTTCTAGGATGGTTTAGACCATGATCTAAATAAAACTTTTATCTAGTACTTCTTCATCAGACTCACCCTATCATTAAACATCCTAATATTATTTTCTAGCTGATTAAGATTCTTTTCATGATTTTCTTTGTGGTGGTCCTTGGACTGATGTCTTTCTTCTCTTTACTGAAGTCGCGCTTTCTATATAGTTTACTGGATTTAGCTTTTATTTCTTTTCTTTGGTTTTAAATCAAGCCTCACTCTGCCCATCACACCAGTAAATTTAAGACTTAATAGCAACAAAACATCTCATAAAAACTCTTTTAAGAGTTGATTATATGTATTAGTAGGTGTCTCTTTCAAGTAGGTTTTAAATCCTACACACTGTCTGTAAGAGATTTTTAAGTTTTTCACTCATTTTAATCATTTTTGTTACTGATATGGTTAGATTTTGAGTAGAATGAGGCCTATTTTTTAATTAAAAGTTTAGAAGATAATAACTACTTATGATTGTCTAAGAGGCCTTTTTTAGGGGTTACCCTATTGTTTAGTGAGGTCATTTTCCAGAAGCTTACACCATGGCAAACCCGTAGTTAAAAAACTATGAAAATCCATAAAATTTTAACTTTAATTTCAACATCACTGAACAAAGCATGGGTATAGATGAATACAGTAGATTGATAGATGCTGGCTTTTTCAGAGAGATTCTTCAATGGGTTTAATCTGCTTTAAAGTTTCAAACAATTGTTACCGTTGAAATGGCCCTCATGATATGATTAAATTAGAATTTATAATAACGCTGGCCACTCCATGGTCGCTGGCCAAAGATTAAAAAAATTTTTCACCAAGTGGTTCACTACTTTAAACGGTAAATGTCGCTCAAATAATGAAATATCTTCTAGCAATAGCTTATTGTCAGGAAACTCAAGCAATGGCAAATGGATATCATTCTTGAAGTTTTTTGACTTTTTGATGTCACCCCAGAACTTATGAAATGGAAAAAAACACACAAAAATTAACAATTCTATTTGTGTTAATAAGTTTTTAGAAAAAAGATGGAATAAAAAGTTCAAAAAGTTCTCAACCAAGAGTTAATACACTGTTATTGATAGATGGTAGCCCTCTTATCAATTATAAAATATCAGGTTAAACAATTTGTATATCATTGGTGATAATGAGCACAACTTATTAAACCAACCAACTGCAGCTCTAGCAAAAAACTGGCCAGGTTTAGGTCAAGATAACCATTCAGCTGCTTCTCAAAAGTTTGATGCTATCATATCAAAACTATTAGACACAATCAGCATCCTTCTCACCCACGTATCTGCACTTGAAAACAATAAAATTATTCTAAGAGCAAAACTTTCTCAACAGCCAAAGTCAGCATCTCCAGGTTTGACCACAACTCTCAACTGGGAATGCGCAGTCAAGCACGGTTCAGAAGCCATTAAAGCTATCATCATTTTTGTCAATGAAAATGCCAAAATTGTTGAAATGAAATCTAAAAGAGCTATTGTTGCTTATCTTCCAAAATCCTGACAATAATCAGAGGCAAATTTCAGTTCAAAGTATGCTCAAAAAACTTGACTATATTGTCACTTTTAAAGTTATTGTTTATTTTTCAACTCATTCATCAAAAAAACAAATGAATTGATCATTGAGTTTGATTCAAATGAGCACCACAATGATTTTTTATCTAATGCAAAAAGACTCAGCTCAATAGATGAATTAAAATCTGTCTACATTCGCCTGAATTATACACCACTTGAACAAGAGACATTCTACAACTTAAGCAAAAAATGTGCTACAAAAGATTTACTTACTCTAACATTTTGTCATCTACAGCGAAAAAATTCAATACATTGATACATCTAAATCAGTCAACATCAATGAAAGAGAGACGAAACCATTTCCTCAATGGAAATCAGCAGCTAAGGCCATTCAATTGCTCTCAGCATCTCAAAATAATCTTCAAAATAATTTTTTTCTTTTTCGTCTAAATATTGCTTCTTATGTTAAAAATTTTGACAAATTAAAATCACTTTTATCTCTTATTAACCATGAATTCAGTATTATTGGCATAACTGAAACTAAACTAAAAAATGACATCCTACCAACTATCCCATTAAACTTTACCAGTTATGTTTATGAGCACACTCCAACAAAATCTTATTTGGAAGAGCTTTACTTTATATATTTAATACATTAATTTACAAACCTCGAAATGATCTTAAAATGCTTAAACCAAAGTAAATCTGTGTTTGTGTAAATCATTTGAAGAGATGATGGGATGGTACTAGGAATCTTTTAAACATTAGTTAGAGAGTAAACTTATATTCTTTATGCTTATCTTCTAACAACTCCATGATATACGACCCCATTAAAATTTCAGAATCTTTTAATTCATTCTTTGTTTCAGTTCTATAAGAATTACAGAAAAAGATTCACTCATCCATTACTGACTTTAATAAATATCTTAAAAATCCTCAATATTCATAAAACCTACAGACAAAGACAAAGTATTATTGATTATTCATTCTCTTAATGACTGCAAGGCTTTGGGACCTAACAGCATTCCAATACCTATTTTTAAAGCTCTTGCAAATGATATCTCTCCTGTACATTCTAAACTCTTTAATGTGCCATTCATAACCGGTGTATTCCCTGATATTTTTAAAACTGCTTCCCAATTCATGATATTTTAAAAACTGTTATCCCAATTCATAAAAAAGACTCAAAACTTGAATGTAATAATTGCAGGCCAATTTCATTATTATCAAATGTCAGCAAAATTTTAGAAAAACTTATTAGCATTACTGAAATGATTCATGGTGCAATTGACAGTGGTTCCTTTGCTTGTTGTATATTCATAGATCTTCAAAAAGCTTTTGATACGGTTGATCACAACATTCTAATAAAAAAGTTAAACTACGGTGGAATACGTGGTATTGCTAATCATTGGTTTTCTTCATATATCAGGGATCGTACTCAGTTTGTTTCAATTAATGGAAATGAATCCACACATAAAGTTATTAAATATGGCATTCCACAAGGTTCCGTTTTTGGACCGTTATTATTTTTACGAATTGTTTACTGCTCAACAGAATTCAATTCTGTTGAGCAGTAAACAATTCAAAAAAAATATATATTGTTGGAGTGTATTTTTTTAAAATTTCTCTCTGTACTGTAGTTGTCTTCGATATATAGTTTCTTTAACGAAATTATATATCGAAGTGGTTTGATTTTTGCTTTATTTATTATTTATCTATATTGTATTTATTTATTATTGTGTTATTATTGCTACATTTTATGTTATTATTATATTAAATTATTATCTATGATATGTACATGCAATTTATATCATATTATAATTATTCTTAATATTATTGATACTTTATTATTTTTGTTATTATTTTGTATTATATATATAATTATTACATATATCATTAATATTTGTTTAACAATCTTTTCTTTTTTTCACTCTTTTTTTCATATATATATATATATATATATATATATATATATATATATATATATATATATATATATATATATATATATATATATATATATATATATATATATATATTATTTATTTATTTATTATTTATTAATTTATGATGAGATTTGTAAATTTTTATTGATATGGTTGAATTAAAAAATAAAAGCATCTTACTTGTTCAGCATCTTTTAATAAGACCAGTTTTTCCATTAATTTATCTCATCTTTTGTATTTCTACACCAATGCAACCTCCCTTAATCCATTAAAATATGGTCCAACAACCAATCAACTTCCTCTCTCTCAAATTAAAACCTCTATTTTTTTGACTGCCTCAACCAAATCAGAGGAGGTGTAAGCTTTATACACAAACAATATAATTATCTCTAACCAACTAGAAGAATCCCTACCACACAAAAATTTTGTTCTTTACTATACAGAACAATTATGGGTCAAACTAAAACTTCTAAACAAAACTCTGTTCCTAGGCTGCTTATACAGACCTTCATCATCCGGTATTGAAGCCTTCTCAGAGATTTCAAGTGCTTTTTTTCATGTCAAAGCATCAGGATTGACCAAAAATTATTATTGGTATTATCATTGCCAGTGATTTCAATTTCTGAGAGATTACTTGGACTTTTGATTCAGTCTTCTCCTCTTGTAAAATTGATCTTGGTTTTATTTGTCTCTCTTTTTCAAGATTGTCATGATTGAGCGAATTTGAAATCCTTCAAGTTTGCTCAATGGTAATAGTATGGCCAATGGTATGTCAGATTTGCTCAATGGTAATGGTATGGTAATGGTAAATTTGCTCAATGGTAATGGCCAATGGTAGACGCAACCCTAAATAACTATTTTCATACATAAATAGTAAACGCTCAGTAACAAATCAGATCTCAGCTATGTGAACTACCAGTTCCAGGGAGATCATTAGCTCTGACAAAATTACAATAGCTAACTCACTTAACAATCAATTTCAAACAGTTTTCAGCAAAAGAGCCATCCAATAACAATTGTCCCTGCTTTGATCATAGAACTACCATAATCCTCAACAGCATTCGAAACTCAGGCCACTGGAACTCTTATCACTTGATATATCCAAATCACTTGGTGTAGACAATGTCAGTCTTTGCATTTTACAACCTTGTTCTACTTTATTGTTTACTCCACTTACTCTTATTTTTCAAAAGTCATTTTTTAAAAGCCAAAGCAAATGTTACGCCTTTACTTAAGAAGGGTTCTATAATCGACTCATCAAACTACAGACCAATATCCCTCACCTCAATTCTGTGTAAAATAATGGAGAAACTAGTTAAAATCATGCAGCATCTAAAATCAAACAATCTTCTATCAAATAGTCAGCATATCTTCTTAGAGAAAAAATCATGCATTATGAATCTCCTTGAAACAATGGGTTTCTTGAGTGGATTCCATATTCCTGGATTTTGCTAAAGCATTTGACAAAATGACACATCAACAAATGTTTTACAAACTAAAAATGTATAGAATTAAAGGGAATCTTCTCATTAGGATAAAATCTTTTCTGCTCAACAGGTCTCAACATGTCATCCTAGGTGTCAAAGGTGTCACCCAGTCAAATTGGTTACCTGTGACAAGGGGTGTTTTGCAAGGATCAGTCTTAGGACCAATTGTATTTGTCATTTTCATCAGCAATCTGCCAAATGTAATAAGCAAAGAAAACAGTTCTGCGCTGATGATACTAAAATCCTGGGCATTTTTAACTCACTTGCTGCTCAACTTCAACTCCAATCAAATATTGACAAATATATCATTGGTCAATATCTTATCTAAATATCAATATCCAAAAAGTCTTGGCTCATGGAACTAAATGCCAAGAAATGCAAGGTGCATGCACTTTAGCCAATTAAATTTAACTCACTGGAGGAATTACAAGTACTCAATAGAGGAATTGGGCCCTTTTTTAATAACGACTCAAACTACATTGGAAGCAACCACCTCTGAGCGAGAATACAAATTACCAGTGATCTAAAAGTAGAAACTTAACTCATCATTATCTCATGTAAAGCAAATGAAATGCTAGACATCCTAAAACGCACTTTCTAATCTTGTGATGCTTCTTTATGGAATCAACTCTACTCCACCTATGTCTATCCATTACTTGAGATCGCAATTCCAGCTTCGAACTCTTACTTGGTGAAGGATGAACAAATTATTGAGCTAATACAGTGCAGAGCCCCAAAGATACCATGCCAACTGAAAAAGTTGGACTACAAGTCCAGATGTTTACAACTTGGTCTAACTTCTCTAGTCAGCTGTCGTAAATGAGGTGACCTCATCCAAAAATCTAAAATTTTTAATAACGTTGACATATTCAACTGGCACTTTCCTCTCATCATAATTCCACCAAGAGCAAATCATAGAGAGACTTTACCATGAAAAATACAGCAATAATTCTGCTTGTTTTAACTTTTTAATAACTGCATTGTCAATGCATTAAACATCTTACCAGATAAAGTGATCAATTCTCTGACTGTCAATAGCTTCAAAGCGAGCCTTAATAGACTCCAGTGTTACTACATTTTGCAGCTTTCTTTAGTGAAAGTTGCATTATGTTTCAGAAAAACTAACTGTAATCTGACAATCTACCATTTGTATTATGTCAATTATATATATATATATATATATATATATATATATATATATATATATATATATATATATACATATATATATATATATATATATATTTATATATATATATATATACACATATATATATATATATATATATATATATACATATATATATATATATATATATATTTATATATATATATATACACATATATATATATATATATATATATATATATACATATATATATATATATATATATATATATTTATATATATATATATACACATATATATATATATATATATATATATATATATGATTTAAAGGATAACATCTTGTGTGAGAGTATATTTATATATTTTTTTTTTTTTTTTTTTTTTTTTTTTATTATTTTAAAACATCAAAAATACGATTTCTCTCAACACTTATAATTTTTTTATTATTATAGAAATTTTCGCTGGATTTTAGATACCAGCTTCTTCAGCTTGTTAAATGTATATATATATATATATATATATATATATATATATATATATATATATATAGTCTTGCATGGTAGTCAGAAAGTTTTTCCCATAAACTGTTGTTTTAAAGAGCGCGTCAATAAGCCTGACCAGAAAATGTTAAAAAACTTCAAAAAAATTTTTTTGTTTTTTAATGATAGACTGCCTGCCCAAACCAAACCCTCAGTCGATGTAGCAGCACTCCCTTGCGAGTCAGGCTATTTGTCAGTCGATGTAGAAGCACTTCGTTGTGAGTCAGGCTATAAGATAGTCGATATAGCAACACCCCCTTGTAGCAGCAGGCTATAAGATAGATGTAGCAACACTTACGCATGTTTTAAAAATGTTTTTTAATAAAACGAAAACAAAAACATTTTCTAGTCATTATTATTGCGGTTTTTTTTAAAAACAATAAAGTTTAATGTACTTCCGCATTAATTTAATTGCTTTGACATTTCGACGACAATAAAATGCAGCTTAAGAGACAAGGTAAAAAAATTGTAGTCGAAAGAGACTTTTTTTACCATAAAAGTCTATTTCGACTACACTATAAGGATATATATATATATATATATATATATATATATATATATATATATATATATATATATATATATATATATATATATATATACATTTATGTTTGATACGTGTTTGAAATATTGAGCATACCTTTTGTGAAATAAATTAAAACATTTTACATTTAAATTTATTTTTTTATTTTCTTCAGCTATCAAGGTGCAATATTTTCATCAATTAAACCAGAGTATTTTCTTAATTTCTCAGACTTCAAACGTTTTAAGCAACTTGAAAACTGCTATGAAAGTGAGAAATATCACAAATCAAGTGATAGTTTTGAATTACTCTCCAAAAAAAGTTGGACTTCACTACTTCTTCAAATTTATAAAGTAAATATTTTAATTTATTTAAGGGTAATATTTTATTTTATAGAACTTCATTTTATGCATCCTTTCTTTTATAATTAGATTTATGTGCTTTTTCGAATATCACCACAAATTTGCAAGTCAAGTTTTCCTTTTGATTACCCTACTTTACCGGGTTTCAACTCTGATCCCAATTGCAGTAATATATACAGTTCAAGTGAAAGAGTTATTTTATCTTGGTTAAACCATCATTATGAACAGCAAAGAATAAAATGTTGGAAAAGTAAGCAATATTAAATTTTTAATCACTGATCCATCTTGTTGTTATTTAATTGTCTATAAAAAATGATTTAAATCAACTATCAAAATTCCTATAAATACAATATTTAGTATAGCTCATTGATATATATATATATATATATATATATATATATATATATATATATATATATATATATATATATATATATATATATATATATATGTATGTATATATATATATATATATATATATATACAAATAGTATTGCGTACTAAGGTAAGCAATCTGATGTCATACTCAAATAGCCTGCTGCTGGGGGCTTCGGTACATACATTGACTGACAAATAGCCTGACTCGCAGTGGAATGCTGCTACATCGACTGAGGGTTTGGGATGGGGTAGCAATCGTTTCATTTATTATTTATTATTTTTTTCTTCTTTTTCTAAAAAAGCTGTATGGGTTTTTAGAAAAAGAAAGCAAAATTTTTAAAAAATTTTTTGAATTCTTTAAAAAATATTACGCGATAACTTGAAAATTTTATTCTTGACAAATTTATGAAACCTTCTTTGAGGTTTAGTATGAACATAAGGTTAATTGAATGTTTTGTACATGCATGTGCAATACCTAGAAGTTTTACTATTGGATTTCGAGTCGCTATTTAGTTTAGCGACTCCAACTCCGTTAAAAATGTAGCGACTCTGACTCAGACTCCACAGCCCTGTGGAGTCTGAGTCAGAGAGAGAGAGACACACACAGAATGGATAGTATACATCTAAGCATGTGACTGACTGACATCTAAGTGGAAAGGAGCGCCACAGCATTGACTATTGGTTTAGGTTGGGGTAGCTGTTGTTTTTTTTCATTATTCATTCTTTTTCCAAAAGAATGGTTTATATGGGTTTAATAAAGTTGGCATTTGTATATCTATGTACGGTATGTAAACCTATCGTAGATATACATACTAGTGATGTATCAGTTTAATATTTTTGGTCAATGCTGATGGACAAAGAAAGGCTGATACCAATGCCAATACCAAATAATTAAGCAATTATAAGATTAATTAACAATATAAAACTAAATATAACAGGTCGGGATCAAGATTATCATGATTAACCTGCTTCTATTAACATGTAATCAAGTATAACCTGTAATTCTGCCTTAAAAACCCTGCCTTTTGTAGGCCAGCTTTGCACTCCTTTTTCATCAATAGGCTTCCATAGATTTAAACCTGCATTGCATCTATGTTAATGATCTATTAATATTAATGAACTTTCCAACCTTACCTTTATTTGCTAAAAACAACCATATAATTTAGTCAAAATATATTAAATTGAGATAAAACGAGATTTGAATCTTACAAATATCCTATAACCTTACATAGTGGATATTATTTTGTCAATATATATATATATATATATATATATATATATATATATATATATATATATATATATATATATATAATTTGCCGACCTCAATTTTTTTGAGCTTGGCATCAGGTCAGCAAAAACTATTTGATTCAAAGGTCTAACCATAAAATGTGGAAACTAGGTCAGCAATTTTTTGCCGACCTCAAAAACTTCCAGGTCCGCAGTTAGGTCGGCATTGCCGAATGCCGACCCTAATTCCAAGGGTTGATATATATATATATATATATATATATATATATATATATATATATATATATATATATATATATATATACATATGTATGTTTGTATATATATATATATGTATATATATGTATATATATATGCATATATATATATATATATATATATATATTATATATTTAAGGGGTAAACAGATTCTATCTGTTAACCAGCACTCTACCTTTTATTTATATCTTAGGCTGGCGCAGATGTATTTATAATACATTGTTTCCAGTTTAGGATGTTGTAAGCTAGATATTCTTGACTCAATGCATGTGTTGTGCTTGTGTCTCTGTTTTTATGAATAGACAACTCATTCTATTATTTCCGAATACTCTGTAGTAGCTCTTAGAGAGGCCACTGTGTCACAAAATGACTTTTAATTTGAGCCTTTTTTCCAGAGTAAAACCTTTAGGGGTATGATAGTACAAGTATGTAGGAGTACATTAGAGTTGGTTTTGAAATTTTTCATTGTCATCCGTGAAAGAAAAATTGATTTGAAAATTCTGATTTTTTGGCCTATTTACAAGGTTATTAATAAAATGAAAAAACATTTTTTATATAAAAGTTGTATATTTTTGTCACATAAGTTACTAACAAAAATAAGCAACTTGTTTAAGTAAGAGTTCCTAGGCCCCTTATTAATTATAAAATTCCGGGAAAGGAAAGGCAAACAGTTTCATTGTGTCTTTCAAGCAAAATACAAATACAAAACAACAGAAAAAAATTTTCTCAATTTGAAAAAAGCTAACTGACTTTATGGTTAAATGCTGTCAAGATTTTTTAGTCAAGCTATCAACTTTGAAGATCAAATTCCCAATCGGTATCTGTGAAAACTTCAAGTAGACCTTAGAAAAAGAGACAGCTGTGAAAATGTTCAACTTGCCGCACTGCCTGACTACCAAAACATAAAGATTCGTCCTGCAACAAAAAAATCACAATCTATGCAATCACATTTTTTTATTTGTTATGTTGGAAAAGCCAAGTTTGAAAGCCCTCAACTGATTGGAACAACAAACACAATCAGTCAGCCAAAAGAACAGCCAGTTGTTGAGAAACGTTATTCAGCATGCTTTTCACTGATTTGAAGAGGGATTCCACAAAGTTGTGCAAAAGAAATGCTTCAACAGAACTTGCTTCAAGTTGCAGCAAAAGACTCAAAAGCAACAGAAAGAGTAGTTGCTTCTGTGATAGCTAACAAGGTTTATTCACCCTATGGCACTGTGTGTCTTAGTCAAGGAATAGGAAGGTATCTTTCTGTTACTCCAGTTGAAGAGTATTTTATTTTTGTCATATATGCTTAATATGCTTTTATTTAACACGTTCACGCCGGCGTGTACCACCGGTGGTACACACTAAACTGTCTCATTGGGCAGCGTGGTACACGCTGCCCAATGAGACAGTCTAGTGTGTACCACCAGTGGTACACGCTGCCCAATGAGACAGTCTAGTGTGTACCACCAGTGGTACACGCCGGCGTGAACGTGTTAAGTAACTCTTTTATTACAACATGAAAACAAAGATTTTTCCAGCATCTATATTCACCTTGACTGCTCAGCAACTTCTACAAGTTCAGAAACAGACTGGGTTTTCCAACAGTGGGATGAACAAGGTTGCTTCAACACTTAACAAAATAGCTCCCAGCAAGTAGTTGAAAAAAACTTCAGGGAAAAATTTGAGTCTCTTGAAAAGTATCTTTCTGACTTGTTTATCACCTCAGAAGTTTCGGACACATTTCAAAAGTCTAAGCCAAGAATCCAAACATCTATTGGTGTACTGCAAAAATGTTAAAGCTCTAAGAAACACTTTAGTTCAGATAAGAGGACCTCAGTCAAATGAACTTATCATGGTGGGAAATGATGGAGGAGTGGGGCTTACAAGCAATAGATGTCTAAACAAAAAAACCTAAAGACTTTCAGAATATTGTGCATGAGCACAACATTTTAAAAGTCTAGTTAACTTAAGTTAAAAAAAAAGTTTAGATAACTTAAGTTACTAAGTTACCTAAAGGAATACTCATCTTGGACTTCATTTCACCCATGGAACTTTACTTGCTTCTTGGTGTTGTTAACCACTACTTCTAGAGTCTGTGTCTGCAGCAGAAAAATGCATCAGAGTGGCAAAATTTGATGAACATGTAACAATAACCTTTTCACTAAGAGCAATTTGCAGGTAATGAGTACAGAAAGCTTTTATGAAAGAATGACTTGCTTCAACAACTTGCGGAAAAGCATGCTTGCTTTTTAGCATTTCCATTGATTGACACATTCAGAAAGTTTGATGTAGTTGTTCTTGCTTCCTTTGAAAATGTTGTTCAAGACAATTATCGCATTCTCATTGAAAAGTTTAAGGATTCTTACATAACACATAGGAGTGTCACTCCCAAAAGGCATACTGTCTTTTTCATGTGACAAAGTTTATTTATTGGCACAACCACTAACTGGGCATCTGTTCAGAGCAAGCAACAGAATTACTCCATCATAACTTCAACCATCACTGGCAACGGTTCGCAAGACCTTGTAATTACCCAGACTACCTTAAAAATCTTTTTAACTATTTGATTTATTTCAACTGCAAGCGTTCTTTTTAACTTCTTTGTAGAGAATACTGTATTATAACATGTGATATGTAAGAAATTACCCTTCAACATCAATTTTTAAGAACTATATTTAATAAGAGTAATCCTTTTTTTTAAGTTGCTTGATCTGTTAAGCTAGAATCTGATTTTTTTTAATTTTCTGAAGAAATTGAATTCTTATTTGTTTGCTGTTCTTTCTAAGTTGTAAGTACGCTGTTTATTTATAAAATATATATATATATATATATATATATATATATATATATATATATATATATATATATATATATATATATAAATATATATATATATATATATATATATATATATATATATATATATATATATATATATATATATATATATATATATATATATATATATATATTAAAACAAGTTTCAAATGTTTTCAATAGAAAATGTAACTCATTTGTTCAGAGCAATAAAATCAAAAAATTTAAATCAATTCTTCTTTCACAGACAATAATGAAAGATTTCAAAATAAACTCTAATGTTCTCTTACATACTTGTACTACCATACCCCTATAGGTTTTTCTCGGGACAAGAGGTTTGAATTAAAAATCATTTCCTAACGCAGTGAGGCTGATCCCATCAACAGCTGTAAAATATTGGAGTACTAACAATGCTTTGTTGCGCATGAATAGTGTCCTTGTTTGTACTTTTGGTGTGCATTGTCAAGGCCTTATTTGGAGCCTTTTGTTACAGCTTAGGGTTTATTAATAATAATGAAGCAATTACTTAGATTATTAAATAGTGTAATGAGTACTATCTTTGCTTTGACTCAAGTTCTTTAATAAATTTAAAAATGACTAAAGTATTAAATACTATAAAACAAAAAAAACCATTGTCATCACCAAGTTCTCTAAACCTATCATTCACTAATATTCCTGGTCTTTGAAGTAACTTTTCTTCTGGTGAGTCTAATTTCCTTGCATTGTGCTGCTGCAATTTCCAATCGAAACATTACTTCCATTTCTATCAGCAAAACAATTCTCAATAAAACAGACGTCTGTTTACTATTGCTAGAAACCATTGTAAAAAGGTTTTGTCTAACGCCAAAGCCCGCTATTCTCAGGTCACGAAATCTTGTATTTCATCTTTAAAATTAGGCTCTTTGTGACTTGTAGAATCTTTATCAGTATCAATAATAATGGCAAATCTGTTGTTTCACCTCTCTTGTATGATTCAGATTTCGTCACCTCACCTAAAGACAAAGCTGAATTGTTTGCTATGAACTTTTCATCAATATCATCTTTTGATTCAACTAGTTGCGTTCTACCTGATATAGCCGACAAACAAACTTCTGTATCTAAAGTATTTTCCTGCTTAGACTCTTCTACAGCTTACCTGTTATAGTCTTGCCAAAGTTTTCTCCGGAGTTATTGTCTATACTTTCAAAACTATTTATTAAGTGCCTATCAGAGTCTTGTTTTCCAGCCTGCTGGAAAGCGGCATCTGTTATCCCTATTTTCAAAAATTCTTGAGAACAATCTGACTTGTCTAACTATTGTCCCATTAGTCTTCTTCTTATCATAAGCAAAGTTTTTGTATCTTTAATTAACAAACACTTAATCTCTCATCTTGATTCTAATAACTTACTTTCTGATCATCAATATGGATTTTGATCTTTTCATTCTACAGCTGAATTGTTAACAATAATAACTGATAAGTTTTATCGTGCATTAGAAAGAAGTGAAGAGGTTAAAGCTATTGCTTTTGACTCTTTCTAAAGCGTTTGATAAAGTTTGGCATACTGGTCTTCTCCATAAGCTTTTTTCTTACGGTGTATCAGATAATATCTTTAAAATTATTAAATCCCTTTATTTCAATTGTAGTACAAACATTGTCCTCAATGGACAGCACTCTTCTTTATATCCTATAACTTCAGGGGTTTCTCAAGGTTCTATCCTCGGCCCTATACTCTTTTTAATTTATATTAAAAATGTATATATATATATAATGTATATATATATATATATATATACAATGTTTATATATAATGTATATATATACATATATATATATATATATATATATATATATATATATATATATATATATATATATATATATATATATATATACATACATTTTACGCAAAGTTTTTACACAATTTTTGTAAAAACTTTCCAACACATTATTTACATTACTTAAGTTATTTACGCAAAAAAGAAAATGTAAATCATTTGCCAAGTAGTGCTCCAAGTAATAATTTTTATTAAAATTAAGCAAAAAAAAATTTCTTTATCCCATTTTAGATGTCGAGTTTGTGTTTTTTTTAATACTTAACGTTTTTTTCTGTTTACATTTAGAGGGTATTTCCCTTTTTTTTATTATCTCAGACAATATCTCAGAGACATTAACAGAAATAATACAGATTGCTTCTACTTTTGGCAAGAAAAGATTTGCAGATATACAAGTTTAAGATATAAAACAGCTACTTCAAGAACACAGTTTAAATAAAGAAGAGTTAGCAGAGTTAATTGACGAGTCTACGTCTGATACAATTGTGGAAGAAGACATTAGTAATAAATCTGCTTTAAACTTCACTTTTGATTAAAAAAAGGGCTCAATTTGGCTAAAGAATTAGAATTCCAATTAACCCAAAATGATCCTTTAATAATACGCAGTGAAAAATTTAAAAGAGAATTTCAAAAATGCTTAGCTCCATACAAAGAGGTTTTGAAAGAACTACAAAATAAAACTTCTTTTGAAAACCAAGAAGAAATTTTTCAAAGTGAAGAGGACTATCAAACAATTAAAAAAAAAGGAGTTGGATTAGACGGCTAGTATTTGACAGCAATGACGAATAAGAACAGAATTTACAATTCGTCATTTTAGTTTTTTGTTGGAAACAATTTTTTTAAATTCACTTTTTTTATTTGAAATAAAATTAGATTAAATTAAGTTTATTTGTGCACAATTTTTTTATTTAAAAAAAAAAAAAAAATTATTTCTATGATTTTATACAAGACGGTACAAATCAATTCATTTTATATTCTGTTTCTTATAACGCGGTTTTTATATAACGCGACTTTTTTTTAAAAATTATATTATTTTAATAATTTCTGTGTTTCTCATAACGTGGTCTTCAACAAATGCATTTACCAAGTTTTTTCGAGTTCTTATAATGCGGTTTCCAAAAAACGTGGTTCGAATTATTTTTGTTTTAGGAGAGTTGACTGTGTGTATATATATATATATATATATATATATATATATATATATATATATATATATATATATATATATATATATATATATATATATATATATGTATATATATATATATATATATATATATATATATATATATATATATATATATATATATATATATATATATATATGTATATATATATATTTATATACATATATATATATATATATATATATATATATATATATATATATATATATATATATATATATATATAAATATATATATATAAATATATATATATATGTTATATGTATATATATATATATATATATATATATATATATATATATACACATATATATATATATATATATATATATATATATATATATATATATATATATATATATATATATATATATATATATGTATATAGCATCCTAGTTACGACTTTTGAGGACATGTTTTTTGTTCCCGTTCTGTTTTTTTTTTTTACTTTTTTATACTATTTTTATCATATACTTTTATTTTATTTCTATTTTTATTTATACTTATTAAATTTATTATTTTATTATAAAAATATATTTTTTATAATAAAATAAATATATAATTTTTGTTATTTTTATTTATTTATTTTATATTATATTTCATTTTTATCTTCATCTATTTACAAAAACAATTAATTACAATAATATAACTAAATTTAAACCTTGCCGTAATCCTAACCCTAAGCCTGATTATGATGCCTGGCCTAACCAAACCCTCAGCTGATATAGCAGCACTCCCTTGCGAGTCTATTTGATAGTCTATGTATGTACATATCATTCTCTATAAAAGTTTGTTATGGGTACATTTTTTTACAAAAAAAATAATGCTTATGGGGACAAAAAATTAACGGGTACACTAAAATGTCCCTGATAATGCTATTGTTCCCGTAAGTGTTTGTTTATTGTAAAAATTTGTACCCGTATATATATATATATATATATATATATATATATATATATATATATATATATATATAATGTTTTCAAGTGATAGTTAAAATTTTTCTTTTTTTTTGAATTAGTTGCCCCACCATCAAGATGGATTGTGAATTTTGAAAATGATTTAGTTGATGGTTTAGTTCTGGCTTCTGTTATTGCAGCATATGCTCCATTTTTAGTAATATTTTTTTTAATTTTCATGTTTAACCAAAAAAAATTTTATCTTTGTAAAAATATATAATACAATAAAATACGTTTTTAGCATTACTTGTTTACTTAAGTCTTTAAATTTTAAAATAGATAATAACATTTTATCTTTTTTAAGTTATAAAGTTAATTATGCAAATTAAAAATTTATTTGATTATTTTTATTTATATATATATATATATATTTTTTTTGATGTTTGATGTTTTTGTTGAATTAAAGCCTATAAAGGTAATGCATAAACAGTACCATGCTGTAGTTTTCTTATTTTATCTACACAAAAAGAAATTAAAATCTTTTCAAATCAAACTCACATTTTCACACAAATATATTTAACACAATAATCCACAATTTTTGACATTAAAAACCTCTTAAAAATATTAAAAATAATAAGTAACTAAAAACTATTCATTGTAAACCTCATATCATTAAATAGTCTAGAGTTTTCTGCAATGAAATTACTCAATGAAATTACACATATTCAACTTGTTTATAATTTATTTTGAATTGTTTTAAGAATTCAAAATAAAAAAAAATAAAAAAAAAATAAGTACCTTCCTCAACTACCTTTTCTCTCTCCCCCTTTAGTGTGTAGAGATGAATACAGTAGTAAATCAATAAAAGAAAAAACCTAAACTAGATCATTATACTTTCTGTAGTATTTTTAGTATTTATGATTTCAAATGCAACATAAACATTCAGCATTTTTGAACTCCATAACATGAGTCTTGACAAACAATACTATGCAAAGAAACAAGTTGATCATGGTAAAACCAGGGACATGGTTGGCATTGAACTTAGAACTTTTTTACCATTACACTATTACCATATAAAGATTATAGATCTGCTTCCAAACTTTCTAGAATTAGCATCATTAACATCAGGTTTACTACTGCAGATAAAGAAAAGCAGTTGTGTCAATGTTCTTGTGCAACTGATGAAAAACATTTACTACAAAGTTTGGAAGCTGTACATACATACACACATACATGCATGCATACATACATACATACATACATACATACATACATACATACATACATACATACATACATACATACGTACATAAGTATGTATGTATGTATGTATGTATGTATGTATATGTTACTGTAACATAAAACTACTCTGGTCCATAGTGGTTTACCTCTTCACTTACTATACAGAATCTCCTTATTTATTTCTAAGTATTTCTTTTGCAACTTGCACAAACAACTTACAAATAAATTTTTTTGTTTTTCAAGTATTGAGAAAAAGATAAATTAATAATTTGATAAAATGATAAATTTTTTTATTAATATTTTTTAAAGACTGTCATCTTAAAGGTATCACAAGATGTCTGCAGTTAAAAATTATAAAACTAGAAAAATATTTTTTTTTGTATATTTATTGCTGTGGGTTTAGGTTTGTATCTGTGCATACTTTTTCTTATGTTTGACTAATCTTTTTTAGAAAATATTGAAAAAGAAAAAAATGAAAAAAAAACTATTTTTGCCATATTAGATATTTTTATATAACATATTTGCCCACACCCTAAGTTCTTAAAATAAAGAAAAATAGTTTTTATTATCTGATTTGTTTTAGGTAAAAACACATATTTACAAAATGTATGTTCAACCATCTACAACAGAACAGCTTCATCACAATTGTTTGAAAATTATTGAAATGCTGCATATTTTGGCTATAGATTATGATATTGTTGTATGTTTTATTCAAACTTTTTCTTATAAATTAAATTATATTAAAATAAATAGTTTCCATAAATATACAGCACCTATATAAAAGAATACAGGCTATATTATAATCTTCTGACCTCATACTTTTGTATTTTATGTATCTTTTTGTATCTTTTGTACATAGACTGAAGATTTTATTAAATCATCTCCAATAAGCATGCTCATGTTATGTGTTTACTTGATTCAAAATTTACCATTGTATCTTCCCAAGTCAACAATTGAGTTTGAGACATCACTGCATAGTTTGGCAACAAAACATGTAAAGTTTATTTTTTATTTAATCTTGAATATAGATTTTAATAAGATTATCTTTGATAAAGTTAAATTTTAGCAAAGTTTTATTTGTAACATTAATTAAAGAGTTTCGAAGGAGTTATTGGTTTAATTTTATTTAAAATAAAAAGTTTAAAAAATAGTTAAATTATCAAACTGTTACCAAAGGGTTATAACAACATTTCAACAAAATTATTTACTAATAAACTTTGTTATCAAATTAACTAAAGCATTATAATAACCAGGGGTGCAAAGTCCTATCAAAATTTAAGGACTCCGGGACTCCGCAGTTAAAAAATAGAGATTCCTTGGATTCTCTGGATTTTTTCAAAACTTTTTGAGTCAAATAACCAGAGTTTTTAGGGATGAAATGTTCCCTGATATGCAAGAGTAGACTATAAAGTTTCAAAAATGCTGTAAAAAGTTTTTTATTTTATTTTTGTTGCTCAATTAATAACTATTTCTTTTAAGTTGAAGGTATTTCTACTAATATAATTTATATAACAAAATTCTTAACAGCAAGTGTATAGTAGTGGTGTATTGGTAGAGCGCTTGCAAAATGTCATAATGCGTTTTTATGTAGTTTGATATGATAAATTGTAGTGACTCAAAAAATATTATCTAAAAAATGTTAATGTGCTCAGACACATAATAGACTTCAAGCTGTGTTTAAAAAGACTTCTAAAACAATTTTATCAGTAAATCCATATCTGTTAGTTTAAACAATATAATTAGGAAACTGCGTTAGAAAAATATGTTCTTTTATTTTGGAATCTATGCAGGCGTCAAACCTCCGAGCTCTTCATTCTGAGCCAGAATTCAAACCACTGGGCCAAACATTTTTTATAACGAGCAAGACTCCAGACTCAGGTTAAAAATAGGGACTCCTGGACTCTGAAAACTGGATTCTGACTTTGCATTCCCTCCCCCTACCTGCGTACATACTTTATGGATGGCCCCTTATCTAAAAAATGAAACAATTATACGAGTTCTGATTAGTCATTAAGTAAGGAAAAAATAATTTAATAAATATCCTTTTAATAAATAATGTAAATAATATACAATATAAGTAATAGTTAATATAAATAATATAACAAATTATAATTTATAAATATCCTTTTAATAAATAATAAAATAGAGATAAATAATATGTTATTTTTTAATTAAATTTACATAATCATCAGAAAAATATGCAAAACCTTAAACCAACAATAACTATTGTTTTTATTGTTTTTATTGTTATTACTTATCTATTGATTATAATCAATAGTTAAGTTGTAATTTTGTAGAACCTAAAAGACTATGAAAAATAATAACAGACTATGAAAAAATAATAACAGACTATAAAAAAATAATAACAGACTATAAAAAAATAGTAACAGTCTATAAAAAAATAATAACAGATTATAAAAAAATAATAACAGATTATAAAAAAATAATAACAGACTATAAAAAAATAATAACAGACTATAAAAAAATAATAACAAACTATAAAAAAAAATAATAACAGACTATAAAAAAATAATAACAGACTATAAAAAAATAATAACAGACTATAAAAAAGTAATAATATATCATTAGCCTTCTTAACTAATTGTTGATGTTGGTTTTTTAAAAAGTGTTAGATTGATTTCTTTATGATAAAAAAACAAACACATAAAATAAATATCTTTGTAAATAAAAGTAAATAAAACCTTGTTAAATTGTTTTTTAAGTATTAGGGCCTAAATCCAATAATTTTTTAAGGTGATACAAATTCAGGAACCAGATCCCATTTTATAATAAAACAGATTTGATTCTAAGGTTTTTTTCCCATTTTTTTTGTTATACAAATCTGGATTTGCAATTTGGTTTCATTTGTATAAGCAAGCAGGTCTGAATATAATTTAATCTTTTTTATTACTTATGTATACATACACACACACACACACACACACACACACACACACACACACACACACACACACACACACACACTCACACACACACAAAAGATAAGAAATAAATTAAAGCTGAAGAGTGTGCAATAGTTAGTTACTTGTTTAACGCTGGTTTATTCAACAAAATGGGGTCAGGGTAACAAATCAGTTTTTACTATGTCTAATAACATCTGTCCAACAACATCTGTAAGTACGCAACTACATATTTGAATTTTACAGATGTAGTTACATCTTTTCAATTACAAAAAAAATAACTACAAGATTTTTTTAAGATGTAATTAATAATAATGCATTATTTTAACCAGAGCTAGTTACATATATGGTTTTTTCCAGATTTAAGTTACATCTGGAAAAAAATATTAAATATAAATGCATTATTTTAACCAGATACAACTAAAGATTTTTTTCAGATGTAATGGCATCTGGAGGAAATTCTACCAGGTGTTATTGGACTTTTGCCAAATGTAGTTACATCTTCCTAAAGATGTTGTTAGTGGTCATTGAATTTCCAGATGATATTGGACAGATGTTGTTGGAGTAAAAAAAAAATACAGATGATCTTGGACAAAAGCGTACAGATTAGATAAGAGTTTTGAAAAAACATGTTGATAAATATCAAATATATCTTTTTGCATGCCTAAGTTTATATTTATGACATAGATGAATTCTGTGGGTATACCTTGTTTTAAAATATTTGAATGTTTAAAGGATATTTAAATGAAAGTATAAGCAATTACAAGTAAAAGCAGTTTTCACTCACAGATAAATGCCTATTAACAGATGTTGGTCTCATAAGTTATTGCATATTTTTGTTAATTTTAAGCAAAATATTTGTTGACATTTTATAAGGAATTTAGTTGTAATAAGTTTTCGATATTTTATTGAGGTAGCTCATAAACTTTATAAAATAATTTTAAATTAGTTAAGCTAGCTAGTTTGCTAGCTAATGATGAGTTTCAGTTCAATTCTGTTTCATATAACTGAGTTTAGTAATAGTAAATGTATTTTATATAAATTAATTTTTTTTTTTAATCTAATGTAATAATGCAATTTTACTATATTATATTAAGATTAAGATTACAAATCCAAGTGGTAAACCATTATTTTACCAAGCTCTTCTTTTTGGTGATTATTCATCGCAGTTTCAGATGCCAAATGGATTCAAAATTCAGGTGGGGATTTATTATATGGCTATGATTTATATTTAAAGCCGGCATTTTTTAAAGGTTTATTCAGATTTTTATGTTTTAATAATCATTGTTTATATTTATCATTCATGATATTTATAACTTAATCTAAAATGATTAAATAAACTTTTGTTCAGGTGCCACCCAAAGGTTTTATTGAGCTACCGGTGGAATATGTAAGTAGATTTGTACACACTTGTCAATGTACACTTTTATTAGTTGGTATAAGAGGAGAAATGGTATTTGGCTCAACACTTGCATTTTGTCTAAAAGGAACAGTCAACTCTTTGTCTGTATCTGTAAGTCTTAAAAATACCTTTTTACTATAATAAAATTTAGGAAATTTAAATAATTTTTTATGAGAAATCATTAGGTATATTTGTTGTATTTATTTCATAAACTTTTATAAAGTTGCTCTGTTTTTCTTAAAAACTTTTATAAAACTATAAACACATCTTTACAAAAAAGTTGGTTATATCTTTTAGTATAAAACTCTTACAACATTATTGAACTGTATTCAACAATCTCCACCACAATTTTCACCAAGATTTGATGATCCCCGCCATGTTTCTTATGGCATTGCGCTTAACTTGTTAATTTAATTAACCCTTTTAACTAGAGAGGCTTCAGAAGTCTTTAATTAAGAGCTTTATTATTCTACTGTGTTCACCTCCCCAAGACTGCAGAAGCTTTCTGCAGTCTTAGGTTGTGGTTCATTCAACTTTTTTTCTGACCTGTACAAATTGAGTTTAAAAAAAACCTGTTCTAAAAAGTGTAAAAACAATTTAAGATTATCTTAAAAGTATAAAAATATTTTTTAAACGTTGTCAGAGTTTTAATACATTCTAAATATTTAATTAGAGAATGAAGTTTCATTTCATGTAAAGGTCTTAAAACTTTGGTACAGTTGGGTCTATTAAAACCACTATTATTATAGCCATACCTTATAATAGTATTTTTTATTTTAAAGAAAGTTCTATTGATTTTTATCATTGAAATGGCGATGAACAGTTTTACCTACAAGGTGTTCATAAAGATTGTGTTAATAATTTTTTCAGTCAATTTTGTGTATAACAAACATGGGTTAGTCATATTGTTGTTATACTGTGCATGCAGATTTCTATCCAATTAGTACTTTCCAAATTAATCTGTAAGTGATAAAAAAGTCCTTGGAACTCCTTTATTGTCCATTTGTCTGTCCCAATAGCAACAGTTTCAATTGTAAGTAGTTATATATCTTATATTTTAGAAAAAAACTTTTAGATATTGCTTATTCAAAAATTACATTGAATCTGAAGTCAAATAAAAAATAAAATACTTACAGATAATCCAAAGATGATATTAATAAGATAAAATGAAAACTTCAATTAATTAAGGAAAAGGTTTGGGAAAATGGTTTTTAAATTGTAATGATTCTTCTCTATATTTCGAACTATACTTAGTTTTGTTTATTGTTAAATTTATTGACCCTTTGTAGTTTTGGTTTCTTGATTAAAAATTTAATGCTGATTAGTCAAACATACAGCTTTATAAAGCTTAAAAATTCCTCATTTTTAAATTTTCCACAGTTTTAGAAGAAGGATTAAAAAATAAAAAAAGGTGCAGTTTTTAGTTTGTTTTAATCAGAGTGGTTTTATAAAACTTGAAGTAAAACAACTAAAAACCTAAATAAAAATAGACGTTGCTTTTGATTGCTTTTCTAATTAAAATTTTTTCTTACACTATTTTTGAAAATTTTTCAAAAATAGTGTAAGAAAAAAAAAACTTTTTTCTTTATAAATTACCTTGCTAGCTGATTGCTGTGTTTTTATTTGCTTTTGACAACTTTTAGTGTCTGCTTGCCACTTGGATGGTAGTTGATCTATCAGATCATGTTTCTCTATAAGATTTTTGGATGACAGCGTCATGGATGTCTAGAACATATAACATCATTAAAATCAGTTTAATTACATTTAAAATTAGCAAGCCAACATTAGGCAATTGTTGATGATGGAGTAGGGTTTGTAATAAAATTTTAAATCCATGGCTCAGCTTGAAAAGCATTTTATTGTAAATAAAAAATAAAGATAAATTAAAACATAAAGTTGCTTTGAATCTGTTGTTTTTGAAGCAAAAGAGTTATCATTTAAACCACTGTAACTTTTAAAATGAAGATTGGTTGTTATAAAATGTTTATTATATGTCTTTATGAACATTTTATTAGAAGGACTAACTAATGGCAAGGCTTAGGACTTGGCTTAACCTATGTTTTAGTAAGGGTTTATCAAATGTTGGGGATTTATTTAGTGATTTATAATATATATTTGAATTTTATGTGTTAAACTTACATAATATACAATAGAATAAAGTTTACTAAATCATTATTGATTATTTATAATTGTATATAAACTGTATTGATTTTTTTAATATATAAAATATTTATTTTTGTTTTGTTTTATAGAATCATTTCAAATATGTTTCGCCATGTTATGAACTTCTAAAAATAACAGTTAAAGTGGAATGTCCTTTTCCTTGTAATGAGATTTTCAAAGTATTTTTAGTTGAAACTGGGCCAGTAGAACTAGGCTCAAAAATAACATGCAGACAAAAAAGGATTTTAAAAAAGAGTTATAAGAAACCTGAATTAAATCAGGGGTAATAGTTTAATTGTTATTGTTTTTAAAAATAAAACAATAAAATAATGCTTTGAGTGTTATTTTAAAAGTTAATTTCTTACAGGATTAAAAACCAATACTTTGAGAGTAAACCAATAAATTTGGAATCAAAAAGTAAGATTTAAGTAATTATTTTTGTATAACATTTTTTGTTTTATAATAAAGTAATTATTTTTGTTTGTTAACATTGTTTGATTTATTATTTATCAGCTTAAGCAAAATAATTGCATTAATGGTAGCATTAAAATATCACTTTTATTTTTAAATGTTACCATCAGTTAAAAAAATTTTATCAAAATTATTCTATTTTACCAAAATAAACTAATCATTACATACTATTAAACAAATTGACTTTAACAAATTGACTACTTGAATTAAACACAACAACTACTTGAATTATATATAGAATACTAGTAAATGTATATATTTTATCTTTTTTGTGTATTTATCTTTTTATGAGTCTTCCATTTTTCAGAAAAACCTCTTCTCAGTGCATTTTGGTGTGCATCAAAATCAATTTATATAAAAACTGGTTTGGATTCCAGTATTGAGTTAGAGTTTCTTCCTTTTGAAATAGGAACAAGGCACTGCTCTATATTGTTTTCAAATGAAAAAGTTGGAGATTTTTTATATTTAATTGAAGCAGAATCTATATTACCTCTGCCTTTAGGCGATCCATTTATTAATGGGCCTTTTCGAATGACAAGTGCTAAAGCCATGCAACAGAGTTCTGGGACACTAAAAGAAGATAACCACACAATTTATTTACATTGCAATGCTGGTGAAGAATGTGTTGCAGAGATTAATTTTGATTATTTAAATTCAGGAAAGGAGAGAGCGCTGGGTATTATTTTATATTTTGACATTGCTATAGTTACAAATATGTTTATTATTTAGTTTAAAGTTGATATGTTACTTCCAGAAGAAGTGAAAGAAATAATAAAATAATAAATAAAAATAATAAATAAGAAAATTCATTGTTACTTTTTTAATTCTTTCAAGTTGTTGCTGCACGTCAAAGAATGTCAGACGAAGAACTTAGAAGGAGAGATGTGACTGGAATGACTTCATATCAAACAATATTGTCTAAGGTTTCTTTATTACAGATTAGCAGGGAAAATTATATCCAACCTTTAGATGTACTTAATATAAATAACCTTCAAAAAGAATTTAAAGTGGAAGTCTCTTCTCCATTCTTTAGCGCACCTGATAAAGTTGTAATACCCAATGATTCAAATACTTCAGGTAGTTTATGACTTTTTTTAGTTTAGGTATTTAATGTGTTTTTTTTTCTTTAACTTAAATAACTATTATTATTAAAAAATAATAATAGTTATTTAAGTTAAAGAAAAAACCTGCTTTTTATTAAAAATATAAAACTTACTGTCTAAAATCTTTTTCTGTTTAAAAAAAGATTTTAGTTTGTTTTTCTCCCTTTATAATGGGGGAGGGGAGCAATAAATTCATACACTGGTACTTTATGGTGAATATAGGTGCTTATTGATGACAGATAATGTGCTTAAGGCAAGCTATAGAGGAAAAATAGAGACAAAAAGTTAATTTGTCACTTTGAGAATATTAAGTCTTAATCAGAAAATTTTGTTAAAAAATGTTTTGAGGACAAGACTGAGATGTTCTTTTCCCGCTTGTTACACGTATTTACCAGAAATAGCTCTGTTAAACCACTCTTTTTGATGCAAGTAGCCCTTTTATGCAATTCCTTCTAATGCAAACATTAAATAAATTAAATGATGTTTGCATTTGAAGTAGTTGCGTAAAAAAGCTAAATATATACAATTCAAGAGTTGTATAAAAGCTAGTGATGTTTCAGTTGTATAAAAGGGCTATAGAAATCAACTCACTCTCAATGCAAGCATTAAAATCTGGCTTGATGAATAAGTTGCTTCAAAATATAAGGAATTCTTCAGACAAGAAAATGGAAGCCTGATATTTCTGTCTATACAATTTTGTAACTAAAGCATTTATCTTGTGAGTGGTTATATTGCAGATAGATAAGGTTATATTGCAGCAATATTTTTTATTTGGTTACATTACCTTTGATCCTAAGACTAAGGGTGTGTATATGTAAATTAAAAAATTACTATAAATAGATGAGAAGTATGAAAATTTCTATATCAATATTTCTATATTGTTTTTTGAAAATGATATTTAGCTATTGTTTATTTATCATATTATATTATTATCTTGATAGTCTCTGTATGTCTCTGTATATATATATATATATATATATATATATATATATATATATATATATATATATATATATATATATATATATATATATATATATATATGTCATTATATGTATATACAGTGAAATATACACAGGACATATGTACATGCATAGAGTAAAATATAAACATGCATAGAGTGGCTAGCAATATAACAACACAATGGCCATACAGGAGATAATTAATGTATGTAATGTATGTAGAATTATCAGTGCATACTTTTCTTTTTAATATAATAACAAATAACTTAATAATAGAATAAGTCAACATAATAAGAGGATAAAAAGTCAATTAATTTATTCAAACAAAGTTTTAGTTATAGCATGGCTCTGTGGTAATAGAGTAATATCACTGTGTTAAAGAGACTCAATGCTGCTCATATAAAATGCATAAAAAAGTTTTTAGGTTATAAGCATCTGGGTAGCGTTACAATTATGTTCTTTGAACTTTTTTTACTAACAAAGATATAGATCTTTAACCTTAATGCATGACAATATTTTAGTTAAAAGCTGCTTATGTTACTTTTAAATGTTTTAGATAATTTGGTCATTTGTTGTATTTCAGATTACGTAGATCCAACAATACATAATTTTTGGATCTATGTAATCTGAAATAAATTAATAATAATAATGTCATTCTGTTCTTTGAATATAAAAAACAAGTTTTTTATTTAATTTTAAATTTTCTTCATTATGATTGAAAAAATATTTATGTGGTCGAATTGAAATATTTATGGCCTAATTAAAATATTTGTATGTCCTAATTAACTTTAAGCTAAGGAGCTTTATACCAGCTTATTACTTACTGATTTTTTTACTCCTTTTTTAAATTTCTTTTTGAAATAATTTATCCTGTTTAAAATTTATGATCGATTTTTTTTCAACCTAATTTTTTAATATATCTGAAAAGTAAAAAATGTTTCTTTCTTTTTATTGACAAAAAAGTATGCAAGATTTTTTTTTTAGATATATATCAATTTTTTATAGTTTGTAATTTAAATTTTTATACAGGTTTAAGCTCTATAAAGGTTCCAATAACCTTAAAACCTTCGATACCTGGCCAATACCATTGCAAAGTAATTTTTTTTTCTGAGAGTGATATACGAGTATATGAAATTGAGTGTACAGTTAAAGCCAAGAATTCTTTTGTTGAATTGGAATTTGTTACACCAACTCATGAATGTGTTGTTCAAAACATACCTTTTGTAAGTTAAAATTTTGTAGTTTTACAGTAGTACATTGTGTTAGTATACATGCAACATGTATGCCATACAGATATTATATATGCAACATGTATGGGTAAGTATAATGGGTAGCATGCTAATTCTAGTACTATATAAATTGTATTTTTAACTTGACTGTTAATTAGTTTTAGAATTAGTTTGAAATTAGTTTTATATTCATATTATATTTTTTTATATAGTTATATATTATTACAACTCATTGTTTAACAAAAGGTTGTATTATTTAGGTTAACCATAGTGATTTTGACTGGAATATGCGTTCAGAAATTACTGGTGAAGGTTTTTTTGGACCAGAATGTTTAGTTGTGTTATCAAAAACAACAAGCTATTATCCATTATCTTTTAAGCCTATATATGAAGGAACTATAAATGGATGTCTTAAGCTATGCAATATTAGTAATGGTGTTGAGAATACTTTTACACTTAAAGGTTTAGGCAGCCAACCACATCCTGTTGATGTTATTAATATAGAATGCATTGTTAATGAACCCACTCTTAAAGTATTGGAGCTAAAAAATAACTTACCATTTAAGATGGTATTTCAAACATTTTCTGACTTGAGTATAATTACAGGTCCATTATTTGTTCCTGTATTATCTAGGCAAACTGTTCAAGTGCCAATAAGAGTTTTAGCACTGAAGCGTGGATATACAGAAGGTGTTATTTGCTTTGTTTATGATGTTGGAAGTAATACAAGTGTGGGAGTAAACAGGTTGATAAATTACCTATCTAAATAATAGTATACTCCTAATAATATATTACTTGTGGGAATATGGTTTAATAATTATATTTTAAAATTACTGCATAAATGTTAATCTGAAAATGTAAATTGTAGTACATTTATTTAAATTCAGTAAATTAATTAAAATACTGTCCAATCTCCATTATTGATGCTAGACATTTTCTAAAATGTATTACCTAATTGTAAAAGGTTTTTTAATTTTCATTAAATTGTCATAATTATGTTTGTTAAAATTTTATTTTCTTAAATACACTAATTTATTTTACATATTTCCAAATATGTCAAGCATCTTGATTGCGTGACATGAAAGGTTTTTTATTGCACAGTTATTTCTTAAATTGCACAGTTATTTAATTATAGCTTGTTGTAAATCTTAATCAAATGTTTTTTTGGTATTAGTGATTTTTACCACTTAATTATAGACAGTAGTTTTCAATGAATTAGTTGTATTTGAACCAAAGTTATACAGAAATATGATTTTTGTATTTTTTATATTTTGAATTTATATTTTGTTAGTATGTTTATATATTTTATATTTATATTTGTTAGTATGCTTATATATATTAAATTTTTAGCTAAAAGTTTATAATAATATTAATCAAAATTAATAGTTAAGCTCTGTATTGTAATACTTCTGAAAGAATAAAATTAGAAAAGATATTAGAATAATTTTGAAAAAAATTTGATTCTAAATTGAAATCATATAAAATCCAGTATTTAAAATAATTTCTTTCAAATTTTGAAACAAATTTCAATTTCAATCAACATAATGCTAAATCACTTTATCATTGCACTACTTACTACTGCCCTAAAGCTGACTGGGAATCTTTTCATGATTTTCTTTGTGACGGCCTTTGGGATGATGTCTTTTTCCTCTCAGCTGAAAAATTTGCCTCCTACATAACCTCCTGGATTCAGTCAGGAGGGAAGCTTTTATTCCTTCTTGTCGGTTCCAAGTCAAGCCTCATTCTACTTCATGGTTTTCACCCTCTTGTGCAGCTGCTATATCTAATTGTAATCATTTTTTTTCTTTTTTTTTCAAAAGAACAACTCTCTTGAGAACATATAGTTACTATTGCAAGAAATGAATGTAAAAAGCTGCTGTCAGATCTAAAACTCCATTATTCTCAGTTCACTAAATCCTGTATCTTGTATCTTATCTCAGAACAATAATATTTAATCTCGTATCTTATCTCAGAAATTAGGCTCTAGAGACTTTTGGAAAATCTTCAACAGCATTGTTAACAAAGGTAGGTCTAACATTCCATCTCTCATTCATGGGGCTGATCCTATTACCTTTCCAAAGGATAAGGCAGAACTATTTGCAGAGACCTTTTCTTCTAATTCGACTCTAGAATTTTATTTTCTTTCTCCATTCCAAATAAACAGGTTAATCCATTTTTAGACATTCAAATAACTCCTGCTTTAATTGCCAAAGTCATATCACGATTAAACTCTTTTATGACTTGTATTGATTTTATTGTGCGTTAGATTGAGGTGGAGAGGCTATCTAAGGCTTTTGACAGTTTGGCATGCAGGTCTTCTCCATAAGCTTGTTTTGTATGGTGTATCTGGGAACGTTTTTGAGATTATTAAATCGTTTATTTCTAACCGCTTTATTAAAGTCATCCTTAAAGGCCAACATTCTTCTTTTCAATTGCTTAGAACAGGCAGCCGATCTGGAATCTGATCTCATTTCTCTAACAGATAGGGGATTACCGTGGCTTGTAACTTTCAACTCCAACAAAGTTCAGATATTTACTGCAAACAACTATCGCAGGACTGTTAACATTCCTATGGCAACCCTCTCACTGAGTTTTCTTCGTTATGTCTTCTTGAATTATCGTTTACTGATGATCTTTCATAGAAATCATATATACAATCAGTTGCTAAATTAGCATCTGTTAAGGTTGCTTTTTTTTATTGTGCCAATTTCTCATTTTTTGTTTTTTTAATTCAATTCTCTACTTCTACAAATCTCTTATTTGTTCCTGTATGAAATACTGTTGTCATGTTTGGGCTGGTTCTTCTAATGATGATCTTTCTCTTCTAGACAAGGTTCAAAAACACATTGTAAATGTAGTTGGACCGGCTCTATCTGCTAAATTGAAGCCTTTTCCCCATTGTTGTAAAGTTGCATCTCTTTCACTTTTCTACAATTACTATCATGGTTGCTGCTCAAAGAAGCTATCATCTATTCTATAACAACCTTCAACTTTTCAAGTCTTCTGTCAACCATTTACCTGCTCTATAGCTCTATTCTTTTTTTTAGTAACTCCCAACTTAATAGTGGTTGCTTGCAGCCTTGTTGGGAATGAATCAGAATTAAAAAAAAAATTTAGAATAGTGGTTTTAAAGCCTGTTTGATTAAACAGGTATGTAAAGATCCCCTCAAAAACATTACAAAAATTTTAAACTAAATTTTTTTTTTTTAAGATAAAAAATTAAAATAAAAATATAATTTGGTTTAGCCCTTGCATAAAAAAAAATATGTAATATAAAAAATATTTCAAACATAGGAAAAGTATAAAAAATATTTTAAACATAGGAAAATATAAAAAATATTTCAAACATATAAAAAACGTTTTATTTTATTTAAAAAGTTATTAAAAATTAAAATGTTGTTATTTATTTATTACTTAATTACTATTATCTATTTGTTGTTGCTACTTTAAGTTTCATAGTGGTTATTTGTTGGTTGGACTTAAACTTTCGTGTAAAATTTTTCATGTGCATTCAAGTTTTCTTTTTAAACAAACTAGTTTTCATTACAAAATACTTTTTATGAAATTTTTTACAGACAAATTTTTTTTATTTTTTAAATCTTCACTTCCAACAAGGCTGAAAGTAACCACTATTAGAGTTGAAAGTTACTGTAGGATATATGAAGTATGATATAATATGAAGTTAAAGCAAGATAATTATTAACAGACAGCTTAAAAGATTGCAAATTTTATGAATCAGAAAATCAAAGTAAAGGGAGCAAATCGCAAAGAACTGATGCTTCAGGAAAAAAACTAGTCAAATAAGAATTTTTGGATCACTTAGGAACAGTTACGATAAAATAATGAGATAAAATTGAATGATGAGTAACACTAAAATGAATTTTAGTAGATGGCAAGAGACGCTCATTCTTTAGAATAGTGCTCATTATAGTAATTATAAAAAAGAGAAAGAGAAGTAAAATTACAATTGTGACAATGGTTGAAGGTTGGCTGCAAGAGAAGGTCCAACTATGTTTAGAATGCATTTTTGCACCTTATCTAAAAGAGAAAGGGCATCATTCAAAGATCTGCTCCAGATATGGCGACAGTATTCTACACAAGGATGGATTTGAGATTTATAGAGATAAAGAATAGAATCCAGAGTAAGAAAGTGGCATGCACAATAAAGTGATGTAACTTTAGCAAATGCTAATTTTTAGTGTTGTTACGACTTTGAAATATTGCGACTGTCGACTAAATCGATTAAGGTGTTTTTCAAAGTTGACTAAAATCAACTAATATTTTGTGGAAATTGACCAAGTAGACTAAATGTCGATTTTGTCAAAATATTTAAATTTTTTAAAATTATAATATTTAAATGTTGCTCTGCAATTTACTTCTTAGATGAAATAAATAGAACTTTATGAGACTAAACAAAAAAATATGTGTTATTATTCTATTAGATTAATTTAAATCAAGAATAAACAAACAAAATAGAACTTATAATAGAAAAAAAAAAGATGACCATTTTATATGTCTTGGTTTAACAAGACACTTTGTTCAGCCAAATCTTGTTTAAGTCTATTTTGTCATTCTGTAATGATTTGGGAAGCACTTGAAAATAACTCTTCAGAAGGTGTTGATGAAGCAGTTATACAAAAGAGCATCTTCGCTAGAAATAGGCATAAATTATTTTGCAAGGGGACATGAATTTTCTGATACTTTTATATTTTTATATATATAATTGATGATTTCGTTGTCTACTGATAACAAATCTTCTGATGACACTGTTTCATCGCATAACAATATTTTTCTTTTTTTTTTTGTTGGACTTCTTTGATAGATGACGACTCTTGGCTAGACAACTGAAGGCTTTTTGGTGTTAGCTGTAATTCATGGCTCAATTGAACAACTGAAGAATGAGCTTTTTTAATACAAGAAATTTTTGCTGTTTTGTTCGATATAAATCTAAAATTACAAAATCGTGGGTCTAAATATGTAGCTGCGTACAACTTTTCCATTTTAAGAAAATCCTCACATCTTTGATTAAAATTATCTTTGAATTTGATGGCAAGATTCATAATTGTTCAATTATTTGATTCACTTTTAAAGTTAGCAAAGTAATCAGTTAATTTATAAATGGCTGGTAATATAACTGAACAACTGGTATATTTTGATCTGCTCAAAATATTTGTAAAATCATGTATTGGCTCTAATAAATCAATTAGCTTGCCAATGATCTCCAGTTCTCAGCTTTTTAATAACAAATCCTTATTATCTTTGTTCTTTGGCTTGATAATAACGCCTTTGATCGATTCACTAAGTTTAAAAACTGACTGCAACATTAAAAAGGTCAAATTCCATCAAGTAGCAACATCTTGTTTTAATTTGTTAGTTGAGCATTTATCTTCGTGATTGTTAATTTTCATATTATTTAACTCAACACAATTTACACGTTGAGCAGAAAGCTTATTACTATGCTTAAATAAGCCAACAAGTTTCCTACATTTCTTTAAAATTATGAAAAAGCAATGATTTTTGTCAGTTGATAGCCAATTCTCTTTTACAAGAACATCTTTAACAATTATATTTAATATATGACAAAAACAAGGTATGTACAATTTATTAATTAGATCTTCTAGACAATGTTTAATATTTGCAGCAGTGTCACTACTCGTTGAAAGTGTTTTATCACTTATTTTCTATTTATTTAGAATTAACTTAACTTGCTCTTTTAAATATAGGCTAGTATGGGCTTTTCTTTAATGCATTCCGAATCACTTTCAAACAAAAATTTAGATCAACAAAATGTACTGTGGCGCCGGTGTATAAATGCGAGGTTTGTGATGTCCATCTATCTGTGGATAGATGACATTATTCAGCTTGGTTTTAAATATGCATTACTTTTACTTTAAATGATTCAAATTTAAATGGCACTATTTCATACGAAAACTTTTGTCTTGTCGGCAATTTGTACTTGTTCTCAAACAAAGCTAGTATTTTAATAAGGCGTATAATAAGTATAATAATATAATAATAATAGTATAATAATAATAGTATAATAATAAGGCGTATATAATAATAGTATAATAATAAGGTGTAATTTTTGTTTCGTATCAAGATGGAGGGTAGTAGGGTCAAACTTTTTTGTAGATTTCAGATTTATAAAACTTTGTATCTTTTTGGCATCGTTAACTGATGACACATTAAATATTTTTTTAAAGAATTAAATTTTTATAACGAGTTAGTATAACAAGAAAAAATAAACATTAATGTAGTGGCACAGCATACAATAAGCTTAGAGCTAAGTTTATGTGAAACAGCAAATTAGG